GGGAGGTGGGGCGGCCGCGGGAGCCTCTCCGGGTGGGCACCTTCGGCGGCCGGTTCTCTCGGCTGCGCGGGGAGGCCTTCGTACGGTCTCGTCAGAAAAGGCATCCCCGGGGCCTCGAGCTCGGTTCGCAGAGCTGCCCCGCGTCTCGGGGCGAAGCTTCGTCCGTGGCGCCTGCCGCCCGCCCGCGGAGCGGGGCGCGGCGGGAGGGGGCCGCGCCGCGCCGGGCTCGGCCGAGGCGGCATGGACCTGGCCGTCAGGGAGCGGCTGCTGGCGGCGGAGAGCCGCCGAGGTAAGATGTCGGGCGGTTGCGAGATTTTGCCCCTCTGTAAAAATAAGTGAAATAAAAATCGCCCTTTAAACACTAAAACCGCTTGATCGTGATCGGTTTTGTTTCTAAATATATAGAAAACGTGCTCTTCCTCTCAGTGCTTTAAACCTGCTTCTTAGCCATGAAAAGAAGTAACTGCTGTAGCGTTCTTAATTTAATCTAGTTTTCTTCCAGTCAAGTTTACTTCACAGAACAACTTTAAGGATCTAATCTCGAATTTCTCTGTCAACAGAAAGAGTTCAGGGACATATAAATCAGGCCTTCACAGCAGTTCACTTTCTTGTGTGCTAACATCAGTGATTTTAAATTGCAAGAGAGTTGCTAACACTTCATCTTACAACTGTGGCTAACTTTGAACAACATTTGCTTGACATTATTATCCTTACACATTCATAATTTATTTCTGTAAAGGAGAAACAAGATGCCATATAGTTCACTTGAAATAATGCAGTCATGTCTGTCAGTCCAACTTGAAGCATAAATTGTCCGTTACATTCCTTATTCTTTTTTTTTATTTCAGATGTTCAGGCTTTGAAGAACGCTTATGAGTTGATCAAATCAGCCAGTCAGGGAAAATCTGCACTTGACTCATCAGATAACTTCAGCACAGACTTATATGTTTTATGTGCTGAACAAGCATTTCAGGTTTGTAGTTTAGGTAGTTTATCTACATTGAACAAAAACATTTATATGACATGTTGTATTTACAGCTGTTAAAGTTCCTACTTAAAAATATTCCCAAAGGTACCTGTGAAAAATATTACACTCTTCTGGTTTTGGAGAACAACTGTTTAAACATGCATTTTCAGTTAAAACTCAGCCTCTAAATTATCAATTCTTTCACAGCACACTGTGGTTTGTGAAGTTTATAATTAGACCAAAATATGCAAGTTATACCATAGCAATATAAAATAGTTTGCCATGTCTGTTTTTTTCTTGTTATGGAAAACTGATGTTAGCCATTTGGTTATGACTGAAGAAAATGTGTTTTTGAACAGTCCCTACTGGGCAAAAGAAGAAAAGGTGAGATTCTAATTATGAAAGATTGTTGCTAAGTGAGCTCACTTCTATAAAATGTGGTAGAGGTTCTTAATTTTGAAGTATTTTTAAATTTTCAATCCATGGGTACAAATGATTGGATTTCAAGTAGACAGAGTTTCTAATAAAACATTATTGTTTTTTCCAAGCTGCAAGCCACTCAAATTCTATCTGTTATCTGAAAATTGAGGTCCAACATTGACATCCATAGAAAATCCTGCTGGCTAATACCCATCCTTTTAAAAAAAAATTATTCTAAGAATTTTGCTTTTATGTTAACAATTCTGTTAATGGCTATTAAAAAAGGAAACTTTTTTGTATACTGTAAGGGGTTCTATGACCGAGTGATTCAGGAGCTTTGTTAAATAAACGAGCTATTTTTCTATACATTTGGAATGACAAAAGTCTAGATTTAAATTTTAAATCTTAATGGGTTTGTACCAGATCTGATACACAGCTTTATGGAATGTTGTTTGCATACTGGTATGCAGTTAGATGTTACGCTTTCAGTAGGCATGCATTTTTAAAACCTAATGATTCTTAGTTAAGTATTTGTTGCATTTTTTTTTAAATATTAAAATGCTTTTTTTGGTCTTAGCTGGGATATCTGGAAATCAGCAGTGACTGTCTACAGATGTATTTTAAAACAAGATATCCTGTGAACCAGTTTCTTGGCAGAGCGTATTTGTGCCAAGGCCAGTTGCACACTCCACTCTCTACGGATAATTTGGTGAGAAATCATGAAGGTTGCATTATATTAAGCCAGTTTTTAAGAGTATTTCTTCCTAGGTTTTTATGTATTGCTTTCAGTCATTTAAAATACACAAGAGTAACCAGGACTGTGGGAAAAATTAAAGGAAAATATATTAACGGGTAGTTTGGGAGTAAAAAAACCTTACCAACTGAATTAGACTAATATTGCAAATATTTTGGGGAGGAAAAAAAAATGTTTGCAAAATTTTTCAGGCAGTTGATTGTTTTAAAGTCAACCTTTTCACTTTTTACATTGATATAATACTTTCAGACCAAATTTAGCTGTAACTGGTAAAACAGTTACCAGTTTTATTCAGGATCACACAAAGCATTTCACAGAATTGTGGGAAATGGAGGACTAAAGGGGCCCTCAGAGAGGTTGTACAGTTCATTTCTCTTCTGTGGCAGTGTGGTTCCACCACTGATCAGTAACCTTCCCATGTAGTACTTTGGATGTGGCTTTTGAAATTAGAGATGAAGCTTTTTGGTAGCAACTTAGCAGGATACTTCTGCTTCTGAAAGCTTCTATGCGGTGATACCATGTCCATACATGATGAGCAGTTTTTACCTCCTACTGAATTTAAGATGGAGTGGGATCTGTTTTCTCTCTTCGGTATTTTACTTGTGCTCATACTGGGGTCACTCAGCTTTGACAATTTTTCAATGGTATCTGACCACCTAAAATGGCCTTAACAGATGTTTGTGTTGTTTGTGTTCACAAATTTCTCTGACAGGTTTTTCTGTAGTTTCTTTGGATAAAGTGTTTGAATTAACTTTGAAGCTAGAATCTTTTCCCTATTACGTTATCTGTACTTTCTTTGCCTTCTCTGAGTGCATGTGCAGAACTACTGATCCTTTTGTTGTCCTTTTAAAACTTCGTACACATTTGAAAAGTATTTTCTAATGTCCAGTTAGCCTTTTATGTTTCTAAATTAAACAAACTATTCTGTGATGTTTTCTAAACCTTAGAGCCAAATTTTGCTGTTTCCTTCTTGACTCTTGTTAACTTCTTGGAAGTTAAGAACCATCCCAGTATGTGCAATCATAACTTGGTTCTTTGTGCTGTGTATTGTAATGTGTTTTTAAGATACACTTTGTATCAGTTGTAAAGTTTTTTCACTGCTGTGCTCCTAGATCATTTATGAAAATAGGAGTGGCACAACATCTCATGCTGTATAACCAGTAATTATCATTCACTTAAAAAAGATAAATTTGTCCTTATTTTGATTTCTATCCTAAGGAATCCTTGTTAGCTGATTAAGATGCTTATATTCTTAAGGGCCAAGTGCAACTTTTCTATGTTAGTATCTAATACCTCTCTGTCACGGATGAGTGTTTTAGATCACTTAAAGAATTTGTAAAAGTGCAACTTAACAGAGTTTGATGCCAAGGTTCACTCTGTTACTTACTACATGGGATAAACATACAAAGGAAAATTGAGTTAGAATTGATTTTCCATGATTTGTACGGAGACTGGAGATGCAAAAAGGTGAGAGAGACCCTCCTGTTGAGTCACAAGGTTCAGAATGGACCCCTTTGCTTTCTAAATTCTTGATGGAGCTTAGGGGTGGGTAGGTCCAGTCTTAGTCTCAGACCTGATCAACGGTTTATATCTAAAAGATTCAAAGGGTAAGGAAAACCTCTCGTTGAGTCACGAGGTTCAGAATGGATCCCTTGCTTCCTAAACTCCATCTCAGAGAGGAGTTTGGGTGCAGCTGGATCCAGACTTAGTCTCAGATTTGGTCAGTGGTTTATGCCTAAAAGATTATATGTGCACAATCAATCCTTTATATCACTTAGTTAGGATTTTGAAGTTTAGCATGCTGTTAATCACTTACCGATCCATCCAGGTGTCCAGCATTAGTTCGCTCTGAAGTTCAAGCCCTTGGTTTCCTGAAACAGACTCTCAGGCATTGAGTCTTATAAAAAGAAATAATTATAGAGTGGTACAGTAGCAGGATCAGCTCGAGCTGGGTGCCCCTGGAGGTGGGGGTGATGGGGAGGAGGAGGAGGAGAGGAGAGGAAGAACCAGAATGAAGAAAGCCCTGGGCAATTATACCCTTACAGACCATTCACCTGCCCCTTACTCATTCTTCACACTCTCTTCATGTGCCTTCCATGGGCCCTTTGGTCCAATAGTGATTCTGGTCTGAGATCTTCTGACTCCTTATTGGATTTCTTCACTGTCTCCAGACAAGCCATTTGTTATCTTGTCGAGTTGCAGGTGCTGTTGATGGCTGTAGCCTTGAAGCCTCCTTATCTTTTGATTTACCCTGGCTCTGGAGGCCCCTGTTTTGACTAAGTAGGCACAGTAAATCTAAGTGAAAGTTTACAGCTTGCGGCCTAGGCTTCAGCAAATCTAGCTACTCATGCTAAGTAAGTAAAGCTAAGCAAACACCTTACTAACTCACACAACATTATAACTTTAAGTGATTCATTCTGTTTAAAACTTGCTTATTTAAGCTAAATGACTGATATCTCTTAACAGAGAGGCATCCCTGCTCAAGGGGGGAGTTGCCTGGCATGCAGTGCAGTTGCCATCCAGGGAGAACTCAAACTGGGCTCATGCAATAATCTGTTTCTGGTAAAAGATCTCGTTGCTGGAGATCACCTCCACGCAGCCACACTGCCTAGCAGGGAGAGCTCAAAGGCAGCTCACTTAGGCTGTCATATTTATGGGATAAAGTGGTTGGCTTGTAGTCAAATTGCATACAATGGGAGAGGTATGCACAAGACTCCTTGTACCCACAACTTCCACTGTGTAGCTCTGCTCCTTTGTGGGTTTCCTTGAGGCGTTCTTGGCCTGGCTATGACCTCCTTTGGAGCCTATACCAAACTGCTGCTGGCTTGGTTAAGGGGGGGTCGAGCACATCTGTCACTCTCAGGCTCTTAATCCTGGTTTTCTCTTTATCTAGGCAGTTCCCACTTATTGCTCAGTAGCCTTCTTATACCAGTCCCAGAGTCCAGTAAATCAGTCCCAACTCTCAGAGTTTTTAATTGTTCTGTCTCACTCTAGAGAGCTTTCTGGTGTCATCCCCTTCCTGCCCATCCAGTTCCACCTCTGCTTTGCTGTTTCCACTGCATCTTTCATTTAGGCTTTCAAAAATCCCTTTTTACAATCCCATCCATCCTCTTTACACCCTCCTTTCAGGTATTTGTACATACTGATGAGATCTCCCCTGAGCTGCCTTCTCCAGGCTGACCAGTCCCAGCTCTCGCAGCCTTTCCTCATATGAGAGATGCTGCAGTCCCTTCATCATCTTTGCGGCCCTTCACGGGGCTCTCTCCACAGTGTCCACGTCCCTCTTGTACTGGGGAGCCCAGAACTGGGCAGAGCACTCCAGGTGCGGCCTCAGCGGTGCTGAGTAGAGGGGCAGGATCACCTCCCTCGACCTGCTGGCAACACTCCTCCTAAGGCAGCACAGGACACCGTTAGCTGCCTTTGCGGCAAGGGCATGCTGCTGGCTTGTGTTCAGCTTGGTGTCCACCACGACCCCCAGGTCCTCCCCTGAAAAGCTGCTTCCCAGCTGCTTTAATGATAAAAAGAGCATGCCTGACGCACCATTCAGTTGACAAATTCTTGTTGGAGATTTTCTGAAGAAAAATAGCTCACATTTTTTAATGGGACAAGCCAATTTTTTTTTTTTTTTTCCCCCCCCGGCTGTGCTCTTGGAAGTTTCTGAGCTTTCTTTGCTGAAAGCTTAAAAAGTACGCAGCTTTGCAGTTCTGGAAAATTTCAGTCCTGATAATTAAAGTTTGGCAGAAGTGAAAGAAACTACAAATGTGATCTTAAAATTTGAAATCAGGAAAACATAGTAATAGGCAATGCTACCAATTTTTAGTTATTCTGTTTCTATGGCAGCATGTTTTATCTGAGATTGGTCTGAAAATAAAAACTATGAGCTGTGAACATATTGAAATAGGAAAATAATGTACTGATTTAAAAAAAACATATTCAAATTGCATTAACATTTTTTTGTTCTGCTCTAGGAAGAGTTTGAAAAGTTTGTGCTCTTTTTTATGAAGGCGATAGACTTTGCCAGCCATGATCGAAGGTGGGCCCTACTGATAGGTTTAACTCTTTAAATCTCAGGAAATGTTACTGAGTTAGGTTTTCATAGTTGTTTGTCTCAGATTTTCCCTAGGTACCTGGAGTTGTGTTTGTTTTTTGCTTTTGTGGATTTTCCTTCAATTTTGTTACTGCACTTCTGTAACTGCTGTGCGTGCTGCAACAATATAAGAATACTGAACAGTCTTAATTGAATGAGATGAATCAACATGTTTAAGGCCGCTTAAGATATCACTAAGCGTTTCTTCCACTTTCATATTTATGCTTTGTAGAAGGAGAGCACCATGTTAGCTTATTTTAAGTGGTTAATTACTGGGTAGAGTATAGTTGCAAGAGTTACTGTATTCTTCTTGTGCTGTACTTGTGTTCTCAGTTCATAGTCAGGATTGGTTCTTATCTAAACACATAGGAAAAGTTCCAGGTTTTGCTTCTCGAAAGTGTCTTAAAATACTCCATCTGTAATTTTATGTTTATCTAAGTCCATGAAATACTAAATTCTTGATTCCTGTTTTTCAGATATTATTTTTTGATATATAATGCCTCAGTTCTTTACTGGCAACTTGTGAGGCCATATCTTAAGCCTGGATTCCGCTATTGTCTTATTCCCAGCCTTTCTCAGATTGTTAAAGTGTTAAACCAAACCGAAGAGCAGGACAATGAATGGAGAGCAGAACTCATGATGTAAGTTTAATCACATCTTTTCATATGGGCGTCCTGTAGTCCTCTTGTACATATGGCTGCCACCTGAGGTAGCCTTTGATAATCTATGTTTCATTGGTAACATTGTAGATACATTTATTGTGGAAAGCTTAATACATAAAATGTACACTTAAACATAAAAGGTGCTTCATTTTAATATTTACTTTGAGGTTAAAATTTTAGTGGCAGAGGCAGTTAGGCCCTAGGTCCAATCTGAAATATCACAGTCATTTTGGATGTAGTGTTGGAGTCATTGCTTATGTGCTATCCTTTTAAGTGTGGAGAAGGACAAACTTCCATTTTCTTTAAGAACTATTTTCTTCATGTAAGGAAACATAACATTTAAATAGATGAACAAAGATCTCTTCTGTCCTCCGATGCCTAAAGAGAAAGAAACAGCCTTGTAAGGTTGTGAGAACATATTCAGGATGCCTTCTAATTTCCTTCTTCTTCATTATGAAGATTTTATATATATTAACCTAAGTTATCTTTCTTACTATTTTTTCCTCTTGTTAACCCATAACTGTATGTTGAAATGAAACTTTATGAAAAACAAGTGAGCAAAATAAGTATTTGTATTGAAAATACAGGAATTAAGAATACAGAGATGAGTTGTCATCAGTAGTGATGTGGTTTTTATGTCGGTCACATGCTTTAATGTATAATTTGGTACTGTATGGTTCTTATCAATGTAATTCATTTAGATCAAGCTTTTTCCTTTCTAATTAGTATTATATGTGGTTTTCTTCAGTATTAAATTAAAGGCTGCCCCTGCTAATTTAGATATACTGCTTGGCCTAATGTTTCAAAGCATAAATGAAATAGGTCTTCTTTTAACCAGTCTTAGGCAAAATAAGAGCCCAAAAGTTATGAAAAAGAGAATAACTTGCTGTCATGGTTTAACCCCAGCTGGCAACTAAGCACCACGCAGCCACTCGCTCACTTCCCCCAACCCAGTGGGATGGGGGAGAGAATTGAAAAAAAGTAAAACTCAGGGGTTGAGATAAGAACAGTTTAATAGGACAGAAAGGAAGAAAATAGTGATGATGATAATTGTCCTGGTTTCAGCTGGGATAGAGTTAATTGTCTTCCTAGTAGCTGGTAAGGTGCTATGTTTTGAGTTCAGTATGCGAAGAATTTTGATAACACTGATGTTTTCAGTTGTTGCTAAGTAGTGCTTAGACTAAAGTCAAGGATTTTTCAGCTTCCCATGCCTAGCCAGCAAGAAAGCTGGAGGGGCTGGCACAGGACACAGCCAGGGCACCTGACCCAAACTGGCCAACAGGGTATTCCATACCATGTGACGTCACATCTAATGTATAAACTGGGGGGAGTGGGGACGGGGGATCGCTGCTTGGGGACTAGCTGGATGTCGATGAGCGGGTGGTGAGCAATTGCACTGCGCATCATTTATATATTCCAATCCTTTTATTATTACTGTTGTAATTTTATTAGTGTTATCATTATCATTATTAGTTTCTTCTTTTCTGTTCTATTAAACCGTTCTTACCTCAACCCACGTGTTTTACTTCTTTTCCTGATTTTCTCCCCCATCCCACTGGATGGGGGGGGAGTGAGTGAGCGAGCAAGCTGCTGCGTGGTGCTTAGTTGCTGGCTGGGGTTAAACCACGACAATAATAATAATAAATAATAATAATAAAAATGACAATAATAATAAGAGAATTGGAATATACAAAACAAGTGATGCCCAGTTAGTTCCTGAGCAGTGATCTGGCCCCCCCCGGCCAACTGCCCCCAGTTATGTACTGGGCATGGCATCATATGCTATGGAATATTCCTTTGGCCAGTTTGGGTCAGCTGTCCTGGCTGTGTCCCCTCCCAACTTCTTGTGACCCTCCAACCTTCTTGCTGGCTGGGCATGAGAAGCTGAAAAGTCCTTGACTTAGTATAAACACTACTTAGCAACAACTGAAAACATCAGTGTTATCAACATTATTGTCATACTAAATCCAAAACATAACACTATGCCAGCTACTAGAAAGAAAATTAACTCTTTCCCAGCTGAAACCAGGACACTTACATAAACAAAGCTATTAAGATTTAAACCAACAGGTTTTCTTTCTGGGAAATAGATTGTTATTCAGGAGTTAAAGCTCCCAACAAGATGAATTCACAGAATAGCTTTAAGTATTATGCAAAAAATTTAGAATTAAAAGTCTAATAATTTTTAGGGAAGAGATTAGTCATCTAGGGTTGGATAAAAATGCCTTCCACATTTATGTCTGTCATAACTGAAACTTGTCAGCCAATTTCATATTTTATTTAGGAAATACATAGGTTTTTCTGCATACAAACTGTTCAGTGTATGTGTGTATAATGTAATTTACACTGAATTAAATAATTCTAGTCAGAATCTTTAGCAATTGATATTTCACTGACGAAAATTCGTGGCTGAAGAAGTAGGTTGTAGTTATTTTCCCCATTTCAAGGATGTTCTTATTAAGCATGACTCAGAGTTCTTATTGTGTGTATAAGGAAATGAAAAATGCAACGTCATTAAATGTAATTTTAAAAGGTAGGTACAAATACAGAGTTTTTAAATAGACATGTATGTTGTTACTTTCTGCTCTAACTGCTGGGTTTTAAGTGACTGAATAAATTAATACTTTCTGCTATGTTTTGGTCTGGTATTATACAGACTGTTTCCAGTTCCTGTTACACTTCTGCCACAGTTTTTTCCTTTCTCTTTGTGAACTTGTCTGTTTCTTTGATCTATGACTGATGGTTTATTGCTATGGAGCATTTTCTTTATAAGCTGAAACTGGAGGGAAATAAAAAATTAAGTAACAAAACATTCCAAAGGGTATGCTAAAGGTTATCTAGAATACTGTGCATGTGGTTTTTTTGTACCAAACATACTCTTGCTGAGGCATTGATGAGAACCAGCAAGTGCACACAATGTGTTTGTGTTATAAAACTAATGGTAGCATTTATTTTTTCTTATTATTACTATTGTTGTTGTTAATTTATTTAATGGAATCGCAGGCTCTTTTCCAGTTAAATCAGATAAAGTATTGAAAATCCAGTAGATATTTTGCAGTTCCCAACATTAATAATTTTCTTTTCCTAGATGCTTTTGAAATACTAGCCTTTCCAGTAGTTAAGGGAGAATCTTAGAATACATCTCACAGAAATGTATTGTTTTAATTAATTAATTGTTTTAATTCCAGGTGTCCTGTTGAGAAAAGTTTTCACAAAAGTCTCCTTTTCCAAGATTATTTTTGTGATTTGCAATAAATGTATGTTAACAGCTGTATATCTCTGGAAGAAACAAAGATGTAGAAGTCAGAGGATCTCTTTTGTGTTGAGTCAGTGCTTTATAGCAGTAATCACTTGTACTGCATTTAGGCGGGGTACCTTGAATATAAACAGTCTCTTGAGAAAATATAAATAATTATTTCAGAAAGCATTAATAAATATTTAATACAAATATTTATTTGATCTGCAGAAATTTACTTGAGTGCTTCCTCGATGCTTCAAAACTGAAAGAAGCAAAAGAGTTTTCATCTACTGCAGCAATCTTTATTAAAGAAAATGTTCCAGAGAAATACTCTCAGATATTTTCTCTAATGGTAATGCTGTAAAATATTTTAAACTCCCAGTAAGACAGGATTTTTCTCTACATTTCATAAGATCATAGTTATAATTGTTAAATATGTTGTTTCCTTCCTGCTCCATGTTATTTTATAACATAAAATAATACATAATACCATTGGGATAACTGTTGCTAACCCTAAAAATTCTGTTTGGAAATAATTACTATTAACACAGAAGATGTGGTGGGTGCAACTTAACCTGCCTTATGCCATTGAGGGCATATTTAGCATCTGTTGACTTTTCTCATGCTGATAAGTACTGAAATGACCCAACTTGAGCCCTATAAATAGTTCTAGGAATCAGAGCATATGACAATAGTTCACATTTCTTGCATGCCCTTAATTTGGGAAATAAGAGGGTGAAGACGAATGTGGCAAAAGCAGAAATAGGCAAATAAAACTTGGAAGTTGCATGCAGTCATATTTTCTTTCATTCTGCTACACTGTCTATTGTCTTTTTCTGTCCACTCCCAATCACTGCATTTCAAGAGCGTATGTTTATCATATAAAGTTGTCTGATATTTAAGAGAACCAATATACAACCTTCCAGAGGTGCGATATTAATGAAGCAATAACATTTAAGCAAGCTCAAAATTACTTTTGTATTTTTTAGATGCAGTGTTGAGTAAAGCTATTTGGCAGTGGCCTTAAACAGGAGTATAAAGTAGTTCTAAAATTGTACTTGGGCTATGTGTCTCAGCAGGGCTACAGAAGTATGATCCACACTATTGAGTGCTTTAGTAAAAGCATGCTTAAGTCCTGCAAAACTTAATGTTGCAGTACAGCTTAATTAATCAGTACTGATTGCTATGGGCAGTCAGCGTGCGAGAGTCAGAAGAAGTGACGTGCACACATTTAGTGTGTAACTTTACAGTTAAATTCAAGTAACTGCAGTTTATTGTCATTTCTTCATAATATTTTTTGTTATAGTTACAGATAAATTTGAATAGGGATCATTTCTTGTAACTGGATGAGATAATTTCAGAATAAGTGCTATCCAAAGGTATTATTAAAAATGCATTAATTGGAACTCTAGCTCAGATGTTAGTTCCACATTTAAATTTTTGCTAATACTTCCGATCCTCACTATGTGACCATTAGTATAGCTCTACTAGGTGATCTGTGCAGAACAACATAGATTATCGTAGTAGCCTCACTGCCCTTAAAGTCCATGAAAAAGCCTATAGTCAACATACCTGCTTTATTTTAGCCCTGTTGAATGTCTGTCCTTTGTTTGCTTATTTAGTCAGTTAATTAATAATTAAATTTTTATTTTATAGGTATATCACAAACTGATGGATATTTCCCAGGTAGAGAAGGAAATACAAAATTCCATCCATTTTCTGGTTATTTATAAAATGCAGATGTTAAAATTGTAAGTATTAAAATGTATCCTTCCATTTGTACTTTGATGCGTGATATTACAGAGGTAGGGTCAGGTTCTGGTATTGCATATACCAGTAGAAGAACCTACTGCAAAGATTAATTTCTCAAAAGGAAAACTATAATGACAGTTTGGGTAGTAACTGTCAGGCCTGTCTAGATGTCAGCCTCAGCTGAAAAGTGAGATAGTTCTTTGGGAATGTAGGGAATAGTGTGTTGTACAGATATTCTCAGGTGAAAGAATTTAAGAGACTGCAAGATATTTTTGTATCCAACAGATTGTGGTTCAGTACACAAGTCATGTTTAAGAGAGCAAAGATGAAGTAGGGAAATCACACCTAAAATATAATGCATGAATCACAAGGATGGGAAGCGTAATACTTTTTAAACTTTTAAATTTTAAAAGCATAAAACAATTCCAAAAATTAGGCTTCATAACAAAATGTCATTTAATTTTATTTTTTCAATGTCTCAACACTTCCCCAATTTTAAAAGTGTTAATTCTTTTTTTAGTAACAATAGATTAATTTATGTTGACCTTATAGGGAAGGAGTTTTGCACACCATTTTTCTTTGCTTCTGGAATAAAATTTACTGTCTGAAGAATTAATTCTCACGCTGGAATGTTCTTTGTGCTTCGTATCTGGCTGTCTCTGAGTAACTTACTTGGCATACTGAAGTAGGTTTTGTTGACTTGATTTTTTTCTTTTTTTTTCTTTGATATTTCAAAATCCAGGCATCCCACTGATACATTGGTCTAAGAGCCATCCACTCTGAAGTTAGGAGACTTATTTCAAATTTTTAATGCAATAATATTTCCTGTGAAAAATTATGATCAATTCCTAATATATTGCAGGCAGTGGGACACAAATGAATTTCCAAGTGATGCCACCGCAAATCTGAATTCTTTATATGTACTTTTGAAACAATATGATGTACCTCCAGCGTCTCTTCTCAGTGTGAAGTGAGTTTTACTTGTCATAGCCCCATGAAAGTTAACGCTGAAGTTGATCCTGCTTCCACCCATTGACCCTGAACAGAGTGAACTTGTACTTAGTTATAACAGTTTGTGTTGTGTTAATGCTTAGGTCATCTTAAAAAAAGACAAAGGTCCTATTAGGCTTTATTAAGGAACCCAACATTAAATATCTTCTTCCATATAGCTGTTTGTATAACGTGATTAAATCTTTCCATAACCCTTTCTTGTAGATAAAACGAGATTTTTAAAAGGTCTTAGAACTGACAAGTGCTTTTCAGACTTTAGTTCATTTTTAGGTTTTCTTGGGGCCTTTCCCAATTCTTCAACAGAATTCGGAAATGCAGACTAAATTGAACTCTCTATTCCAGTAGTTATATCACAGCTGTTACTTATGGAAGTAATACTACATTTTTACTTGTTAAATTAAATCTTCTTTGACAATATTCAGATATCTCATTACTTCTCGTATCCCAGAGAGTACACTATGCTCATTTGGTTATTTACGGAGATCCAAACATTTAGAATACAGTCTCCAACTGTGTGTGCTCTGTGTTCCTAGTTCCTAAATAACTGACCAATGGATTTGACTGTTTTGCTTGCCAGTTGACAGAACTACCTGCAATCTTTGATTGCTATTTCAGCATCTTTGTGCTGCGTACATTTCATTTTGTGTTTTTTATGTTCTTCAGGAACAGTTTGTGCATACTAATTATTTTCCATAAACAGATGACCTTTGATATTTTTCATGTAGCCAACTTTAATCTTTTTCCTTTTTCTGTTAATTGTGAGCATTACTAGTATAATCACATGTCCTCTAATATTCAGATGACTTCAGGGTTTTCAGATATATTGCACAAACTTGCTCTTATATAGTGTTTTTCTAATTCCATAAAAGAGCAATATCAGATTCTCTGAAGTGACTTTTTTGTTTTTTAAGGATTCCTTTGATTCTGGAATTAGCTCGTTTTTCTATGAAAGTAAACTGCATTAAGCTTGCATATGATTGTATACTTGATTTGAAGAGAGCTGGGATTACTGTAAGTATTATTATTAATTACAGTTGTTTTGTTGGGTTTTTTTAACACCCCCCACCCCCACATTGTGATTATACTTTAAAAATAGTACTGATGGTTCTGGGATCTTCTGTCCATCTCTGTATTGTTTATATATTCATTAATATAAATAATTACTTGGATAAGTGATCTATTCCTGAAGTAGAGAGATAAAAGGTCAGAAGGTAGGATATAGGTAGAATAGAGTAATTAGTAGTGCAGTTAGTTTTGGCAAAACGTCAACTGTAAATTTTTGCCTCTGTTTTTTAAATGTTATCTGTGGAACAGTTTGATTGGAAGTTAAATGCTGCCTGCAGGTTTTGAAGATTTAACCAGTTTACCCATTCAGATTGTAATTGGTCACCAAGATGTAAGCTCTAAAAGCAGTTAATGTTATGTACATTCACTTCAGTCTTTGAGTACAATATCAACCTTGCAGAACAGCATACAAATTCTAATTCTGATGAGGAGAAAACAAAGCATTTGTCTGGAGCATGATTAGGGGACTGATGAAAGGAGGAGTTCAAAAAACCTTGCCGAAAAAAAGGCCCAGAGTTGTTACCTTTTCTGGAAGGTAGAACTTAAGCAATATAGTTCTCTCATTGGAGCGAGGAATATGGAGACGTTGTACTGCAAACTGCACTCCTTAATCCTTTCCTTTGTGTGCTTCTTTTCTGATAGTGTTTGTTCCTATAAAATTCCCAGTTTTCTTTAGTAGGAATGATTCATTTTCCAGCAAACTATTGATTTGTTATTTACTAACATTTAATAATTTTTATTATTCTGTAGTATTTTTATTATAATGTTACTGTAGGGGTATTCTTAGATTAAAATTTTGTGTGGTCTCTGTAATAACTGGTCTTTCAATGTGTATGCCCTTTTTGATTCTTACATCCAGCTGGCTCTGAGATTTGTTTTTTCTGTTCCTTCCCCTTTGTGGTTTAACCCGAGCTGGCAACTAAGCACCACACAGCTGCTTGCTCACTCCCCTGCAGTGGGGTGGGTAAAGTAGGAAGGGTAAAAGTGAGAAAACTTGTGGGTTGAGATACAACAATAACAATAATAATAATATTGTAAGGAAAAGATGACGAAAAAATAGCAGAGAGCAAAGTACAACCCAGGAAAAGATAAGTGATGCAAATGAAAACAATTGCTCACCATCAACCAACTGATGCCCAGTCAGTCCCCGAGCAGCGCCCCCCCGCTAACCTTCCTCCCCAGTTTTATTGCTGAGCATGATGTCATATGGTCTGGAATATCCTTTTGGTCAGCTGGGGTCAGCTGTCCTGGCTGTGTCCCCTCCCAACTCCCTGTGCAACCCCAGCCTACTCGCTGGTGGGGTATGGTGAGGAGCAGAAGAGGCCTTGACGCTGTGTAAGCACTGCTCAGCATCTCTGCATTACCAACACTGTTTCCAACACAAATCCAAAATGTAGCCCCATACAAGCTACTATGAAGAAATCTAACTCTATCCCAGCCAAAACAAGTACGCTGTTGAGAAACAGAACTGTATTCAGAAAATCAGTATGTTTTTCAGATACAAAAATGTATGAAAACGTGCCTGGTTGTGTTGTGATCCCCATGAGTAAGTTTTCAGTTTTCATCTGAAATGTGTATGCAAGGAAATATAAGTGTCAAATACTGCCAAAGAAATTTCAAAATGTATTTCCAAATTTCTATTATAGTGATCCTATTTTGAGTTACTTGTAGTGTAAATTTTACTTCTCCTCACTGAAATTTTTTTATTTCAAGTGTCTGCTTCAGGCCCATTTTTTCTGAAAATTTCCCACAAGTCTAAAATCATACACAATTCCATGGCATTCCACTGGAAGATGTGTTTAAATCCCCTAGATCAAAGATTCACAAGGAATTAGTCTCAGTATTCATATAGACAGTAATAGCAAGTATCCCCTCTGCAGCAGCAGTGGAGAAGCCTTGCTACTATTTCAACCTTCTCTTCTCCCTTAGAGTTAGTGGGTGTTTAAGTGACCATCTTCAGATTGCCTGGCATCATTTTGACAGTGACCTCTTCACAGTAGAGCGAGAGGAATCTATGTCAAGTTCCAGTTCCTTGGCTTTTGCCAATACTGACAAATTTCTCAGCAATAACGTGAATTCCATCTCTCTTACGTATTTGTCATTACAAGATCATGGCAGTTCTACATTCATCTAAGTTTTTCAAGATCTCATCTGTTTTCCAGTCTGGGGATGTTAAATTAACAAAGGTCATGCTGAGTAATTTGATAATAGTTCATAATGAATGGCGAATGGAGATGCTGTCTGTCTTTTCCTACTGCACCATATGAAACCAAATACAAAGTATCTTAGATGATCCATACATACAACTTGTATGATTTAACAGCCAGATCTTTCCTGAGGTGTTAAAAATCTCACCTCTTTTTTCACTTAAAAGTTGCACTACCCATCAAGATGTATCCTTTCTGTCTTGACTAGCTCTGGTTTGTTCCACTTGTGTAACTTATTAATAACATTAGTGAGCAAAAATCTACTAGAACAGGAATAAAATTACAGTATAGGAAAAATCAAGTGTACACTGGTTTTCTTATTGCAAAGTCTGGCAATGAACAATTTCAAAAATCCTGATAAAGTTATTTTGCAGCTTCAGCTTAGTAAGAAGTGACTGCTGTTCAAACAACAAATTCTACTCCCCTTTTATTGTTTCAGTTAATTAGCTAGTACAGTGGGATTTTCAGTAAGAAAGTACAGTGCTTTATTAGTGTAATTGCATGGGTTTAATCTTCATTGTGTTCCCTTTTAATTATTAGAATTAGCATTTTATATATTAATACTTCATAGGAGCAAGGGAAACTTATTGAAATAGAATGCCTGGAATATGAATACGAAGTAAAAAAAATCAGCACTAAAATTGTGACGTATACCAAAGGAGTCGTTGAGGTATGTTCTTTAACTTTGAGAGAAAAGTAAAAGTTTTAATCTCTTAAATATTGAAAACTGCATTTGGCTTTTGTGTCTTAATTACATTATACTGATCAGAAATTCTTTTAAACTTTATATTCTTTCTAATTGGGCTGCCAAGAAGAAAACAGTGAAAAATAAACAACAGTTGTATATTCCTCTCTTAAGTCTTCTGTCTGACTATAAAGGTTTATAACATATTACTTTCCAAGAGTAGAGATGGTAGCATTGAGGCATGCAAAGGCAACACTCTCTTGTTTTCATATTTTACGTTTATGGGAGGTGTTTTCATAGAATATCTTGAGCTGGAGGGGACCCATAAGGATCATGGAGTCCAACTCAACTATTATTGCATGTTATGGGTGATGTCATACAAATTCTTATGTCAGAGATATGCAGATTATTCCTGGTAAATTATCACACTGGGGAGGATGTTCTTGTATTTCTATAGTCACTTGACTCATTTATAATTCAGATCATCAAATTGTCAATATTATCAATGGGATTAGATAGATGCCTACAATGAGGAATTTAGAACAGCTATTAGAGGCACCAAAAGTTCCTAAACCAGTAAGTATGAATATGCTTCATGGAACTCCATAGTGTTAGTGCATAAACTTACTCCTATCTATGACTGTTCTCATTTTGTAGTTCAGAAATTCTATTCACCTTTTGAAAAAAAAATTTCATTAATTCCTCATAATATGAAACACTACTAATACTGCTTAAATAAAAAATAGGATGTTTAGATACTTAGGTATTTCTAAATATTCCTACACAGTGTATGCAGTTGCAGAGGCTTTTTGTTTTATTTTTTCCTTTTTACTTTTTTTAATCGCATAAACTCTAAAAAGAACTTAATAATTAGTGATTGTCTGTTACTGTAGGTAAGGATTTGCTTTTAGATTTAATAGGAACCAAGTTTTATTGACAGTATGGCAAATCCCATTCATAATATTTATTTTTTTCCTCTCCTACACTGCATTTGTAGCTTAGTATAAAAAAAGAAAAAAAAGGCAAGCCTTCTGAATTCACAAATATTTCTCAGTTACCAATTTCTGTTTATCATAAGAAAGGGGAATAGCTGAGAGACTTCTGCCTGAAATATGTAATAGCAGTATGGAGTACCTAAAAGAAATACTCCTTAGTTAACAATGCCTATTTAAAAAAAAAAGTTTTTTGTAAAGAAATTATTAAAAAAAAATTATTAAATAAAAAAAGTTTCCAAAGTCTGCTGGCTGAGGGACTGCTTTCTGTTGGAAACAGTCCTAAGATTAAAATTGGGAGGAATGTATAAGAAGTTGTATTCATTAAATGCAACATATGCTAATTCATTTTTCATTTGTGTAGACTCAGCTGGAACTGATTAAAAATCTTGAGTTAACCTTAAAACATGCAGTTCAGTTGGGAGATCCTGAAGTGATTCAGGTTGTTTCTGCAACCCAGTGGAATCTGTGCTTACCACTGCTACAACGCAATTTGCATCAACATGTGCGAAAGCCATTGATATCTGTTGCTGATGTCCTTGAAGAGATTGACAGGTAACTTTATGCTATATACTTCTTTTATTTGTTACTTGAAAGGTCTAATGACTGAGCATCAAACTCATTTAAAAGCTCAAGCTCTGTGACATTAAGTGTCTTTGAAAATTTTTCACTAGCTTGTAATAAATGGACATCTGTGTATTACATACATTTCCTCGTTAATCTTTTAAATACAGGTTCCTTTCAGGCAAAATCTGTTTAATGGCCTATAGTAAATACTGAAATTTGTTAGGAACTGAAAAATACTATAATCAAAATTATATGAGAAATTTCCAAAGCTGCAGTATGAGTAAATGTGTTGGAATGTGGTTTAGATTCTTGTATTAACATCATTTTTGTTGGTTAAAAACATACCATTAAAAAATTACTGTTAAAAAACAATATGGCTTCTGTGTTTCATATCAAATAAGACAGTTCTTGCAAGACACTATTTTTGTATCTTCGGTGATACTTCTTTTAATTGAAAAACCTACTGTATTAAGAAAATGTATAATGTATTTAGATGTATTCTTCTGTTTGCTGTTATGCTGTACTTAAGGTTCAGCACCTAAACAGCTTCACCTCTTTCGCTAATTTGAGTGGAACAAGTAAACCTTAGTATGTGGTACTTAGTTAAGTTTGGACCTATACATAGGCTGACTGCTAAGAACACAGATCATAACTTTTGTAGTACAGCTAGTTACAGTCAACATAATCTGTCATTTGTGCAGAACAGTAGGTGGTTTCTGATTCCTCACCTTCCTCTGTAATACTTTTATATATTTTCGTTGTTCTTAAAATGTTATTTTTTAGTTGCGTAAAGAGGAAACAGAAGCCTGAAGAAGCAGATATACACATGTATAAAAACGCTATATTGTATTGCTGTACTGTTATTCAAGCATTTCTTATGCTTTCCATGTGAAGAGTACAGTATCAGCGTATGCTACTTTAATATTTGTACTAAATGTCAGTAGTGACAATTCTTCTCTAAATGCTTGCAGGTTAGGTTTTTGGGGGGGTTGGGGTTTTGGCTTTTGTTATCTGTATATTCCTAACAATCCAGTAGACTCAACCTCAGCTCTGAGGTGGTACTGTCACTAAAGATTGAATGAAGCCACCTGTCCCTATTAATTTGCCTGCCTTCATTTTTGTTTTTATTGTAGCTTCAATTGTAACTACTTTGCTCTGCAGTAAAAGGGCGATACTTGCCTAGTCAGCTTAGCTCTGAAGTGGGCATACATTAGTTCTTTGGCATGACATTTGATAGCCTGGAAAACCTTCTTTCTGTTCTATTTTTCATAACATTGCTTTCATTTATCTGATTTTTGTTTTTCTTCCCGGAAATAATCTAAAGTAGCATGTAGAGCTCACAGCTGTCATGAACAGCTTCCTGGGGCAGGTGATGGACAGGGAGCATAGTGTACCTGAGACTGGAGAACATGCAGTATTCACTGAAAACATGCTGACTTCACAGAGTAGTTTTAGCAACACCTGGGCAAAGACACTGCCTACAGTGAATGTGTACACCTATGGTGAGCCAAATCTTTAAAAGTGGTGAGCTAGTACAACCAGGGCCAGATTTTTAGATTATGCTTCTACTTAAACGTTATGAACAGAGAGTGAACTTCCATCAAAAGTGGCCATTATCCAGTACATCATGCTCTCTCTGGGAGTTAATAAATACTTTTGAAAATCTGTTCACTTGATTTGCAGACCTAAGTGGTAGCTTAAGTGTGGTACTGAAAAAGAGTTCTGCTAATATACAAAGATCATCAGTTAGTCTACAAGATGTGTTGCTTCCTCATGGCTGTGTTTTCTCATGCAGGGTTAATGGAAGTAAAATGCAGTTAAGTTGTCTAAGTAATTTCATTAAAAATTTCAGTAATTGACAGTGAAAATGGAAGAGACAAGTTAAAAAGGGAATGTCTATTTTCATACTGGAGTCACTCTTAATTATTGAGTTTCACTTTGGGGTAATTTTTAGGTCTAAGAATTTTAGTTTGCCTCATTTTCACAGTTTACATTTAAATTCATGTTCCTTAGCATGTTGACTTTGTTGCGTTGCCAAGTTCATATGGAAATAGCTCGTATTGAAGAAGATGGGGATAGAATAGAGGCTGCTGTGGAACATTTGCAAAAAGCTATACATCTAAACAACGGTGGGCAGTATCAAGAACATCTAAGATTGATTTTTAACCGTCTTCATTTGCACACAATGCTGTATAAGTCACCTGAGCGTCTAGAGGATCAGGCAGTAATGATGATTGAACAGGTAATTATGAAGAATAAGGTCAGTAACTGAAAAAGGTTTGCTTATTGAATTCTGGCCGGGCAAAGCCAGGTGTTTAGTAGAACTGCATATTGGTAGAGCCAGCATCAGCTTGCTTTCAGCAAATTGACATTGGTTCATTGCCTTGAAAAACTCTGTGAATTCTCTGTATGGTGGTCATGCTGCTTCACACTCTGAAGATTGTGACAGAGGATTTTTTCCAGTTATGTTCAAAGCTTATTTCTTGGGGGTGTAAGGGAAGTTATTCATTAGCAAAATTATCAGCAAAAAAGAAGCCTATTCATAATTCTCAACAATTAAGATTTCATTGCAAGGAACAGTGTTTTAATTAATGAGGGGAGCAGTGACCAAATAGCTAAAGAGGCTCGAGACATGGGCCCATGTGAAATTCATGACGTTCAACAAGGCCAAGGGCAGGGTCCTGCACAGGGGTCACGGCAACCCCCAGTATCTATACAGGCTGGGGAGTGACGGGATTGAGAGCAGCCCTCAATCCCGAGAAAGACTTGGGGGTGCTGGTGGATGAAAAGCTGCACATTAGCCTGCAATGTGTGCCCGTGAAAGCCAGCTGTATCCTGGGCTGCATCAAAAGAAGCATGGCCAGCAGGTCAAGGGAAGTAATTCTGCCCCTCTGCTCCGCTCTGGTGAGACCCCACCTGCAGTACTGCATTTAGCTCTGGGGTCCTCAGCACAGGAGAGACATGGACCTGTTGGAGCAGGTCCAGAGGAGGCCACAAAAATGGTCAAAGGGATGGAACACCTCTCCTATGAAGACAGGCTGAGAGAGTTGGGGTTATTCCGCCTGCAGGAGAGAAAGATCTGGGGAGACCTTATTGTGGCCCTGCAGTACCTAAAGGGAGCTTGTAAGAAAGATGAGAGGCAGATTTAGACTAGATATAAGGAAGAAGTTTCTTACAATGAGGGTGGTGAAACACTGGAACTGGTTGCACAGAGAGGTGGGAGATGTCCCATCCCTGGAAACGTTCAAGGTCAGGTTGGACGGGGCTCTGAGCAACCTTATACGGTTGAAGATGTCCCTACTCATTTTAGGGGGCTTGGACTAGATGACCTTTAAAGGTCCCTTCCAACCCAAACTGTTCTATGATTCTAAAAATCCTAGCTGGTTTCAAGATAAATCAGTATTATGTCACACTTACAAATGACAATAAATAATATAGTCTAAAGTCACAGTGTAGTCATTGTCAAGATTTATTGTGTCTAATTCTGTTGTGGTGCTTCAGCACCTGAACAAAAATCATGTTGGCAACTGATTGTTAGTTGGCTGAAAGAAATTTTAGCTATACACCATTTTGGGATATTCAGAGAAATTAAGATGTGTTCACTGAATCTAAAATCAGTACTGGAAAGCTGCTGGTGAGTTGATATGTCTATTGTTAGGACAAAGCAGAGCGAAGTTTTAATGCTTTTCCATGCAAGCTTACTCTGTTTAAATGTCATTTTAAAAAAAAGCACTTACACCTCCTCTGACTTTGGCTAATTCTGAGTGGACTAGGAATTTTTTGTATTTTGTAGCAATTCCTAGTTATTGCAAAATGGAAATGTTATTGTTGGTTTCTAAATAAATACTGTTCTTTATTTAAGAAAGTATAACATAATGACAGGTTATACACTGAGGAATATACTGTAAAGATCCATGAGGAGCATGAACAGTACTTTGTATTCGGTTATCCTTGATGTATTCATGTCAAGATCAACCAAAGTTCTACAGTCACTTTCAAAAACAGTAATACTGTGGAATGATGTGTAAGATATATGAAGATGCACAATTCCTATAGGTATTTTTTTGGTAGTACCAAGTTATATGATCTGCATTCTCTTATGTTTAATAAATAAGATACATAAATAGGAATATAATAAAAATGAACCTTATAACAATTAGTTCTTTTCTTTATGTAGGCTAAAAGGGGAAAGCAGAAGGATAATGTGAGGAAAAAGAGGTCCCTTCTGGTAAATGCAGGTCTTGCACTAGCTCCTGATTCATTTCAAATAGTCCTTGACAGTGAAAATGAAGCTAAAGGTAACGTACATATGCATGACTAAAGTTACTATGCTTTGACTGCTTTGCATAGTCTTAAAGGTTGGACATAACATCTAGTGGCAACAGGTAGAGAACATTGCAATACAGGTGAAGGGACAGTTCTGCTGAATTCTGTGGCAAAGCTCCTATCAATTTCATTAGGGATCTAAGATTTATATTGTGATACTGGAAGAGGAAATGCTATTGTTTTCCCCTCTGAATTCATCTGAATCTTATTATGCTGTAATCTTATTTTCACTATGTGCAACTTCTAAATGTTCTTACCCAAGGGCAGTTTTAAGTGGTATTTTCAGAAGTTTCACCCCATAATATTCTGTTAATTATATAAAATATTGGGTATTCATTCTATATTGTAATTGTCTTTCTATTCTAAAATCTTGCTTTTGGGAGATCATGTTTTGCACAGAGATTTAGGCATGAATTCATTATTTACTGTCTAAAACATGGATCGTAAATAGGTGTATTCCTTATGCCACAAACAGCTTTGGTTTGTGACTATACAGCCTGTTGTTGAAGAAGAGTGGACAGGGAACGGATTTTCCAGATTGCTTGAACTGTTTTATCTTATCTTGGCAATAAAGCAAACGTGTGACTAATTTAACTAACTTTCTGAATATACCCAGTGTACTCCCAGGGTAGAGATTATGCTGAAGGAAGGGAATGCTACAGAAGAAGTCCTGTAGCTTCCAAAGCAGCCTGTTCCTACCATGGAAGGCCATGTGGTTTTCTCACGCCATTTATTCAGCCAGGCCAAAATGTTTACCTTGCATATTCTCATTTCAAACTTGATCAGCTGATGACTTAGAAGTAAGAGTGTTATTTACAGAATCAACAATCCCACTTTGTGCAGTACATTTGAGAAAACTATTTTGTTGGAAAACATTTTCATACATGATTTAAGGTGATAAAATGCATTGTATTTGTGCAATTAAGAGAATTAAAAGCATGCATGTGTTTCTACTTGCTCTCGAATTTTCAGTTGACAACTCTAAAATTATATCCAGACTTCCTCAGAATAAATCTTACCACATGTTAGTGTCCCAAGATAAGCCATTAAAATGAGTGAGATTATCACAATATTACAATTATTACAATACCCTCTATCTGTTTGATACAATGTTTTATAAAATTTTGTTTTGAAAGATTTCAGTTGTTCCTGAGGTTGTCATCCAAAGAGTGAGTTTTTTGCTTTTTCCATGACACTTATGTTACAACAAACTTAAACATGTTTATTGAAGGAATAAGAAAATATGCAACTGTATTATTCAAATATACATAGGACAGGACATCAGATTTGTAAGGTTATTTTTTCTTTTAAGTTGCATAAATAACTGTGCATCAACATTTCATTCTTTTCTGATGTGTCTGCTGGCCTAATTTAGTGAGAGTTGTACCCATAGATCAAGAGAACAATGTACTTTTTAAATCCACAGTTCTTTACCCTACAACCTTACATGATATTACTGTCATTATGTATTATACTGAACAATTTCTGTTAGTTGATCTCTGTGTTTAGTTAGGTAACACAGCCTTATCATATGCTGGATAATGCATTGCAAAATATTTTTAGCAAGAATGGGTAAGACGCTATGCCTTCCTATTTTCATTGTAAATGAATGTAAGTGAACCTACTTATCTATATAAATTTTAAAGCCAGAAATACTTTATGTGTATTTGCTGCTACTATTTGGCAAATTTTTTGAGGATCAAGTTAAAACTTAGTCTGCATTATGTTAGGGACCATCGCTTAGATTCAAGTGAATGTACAAACTCATTGGATTTCCCAGTCACATCAAGTTTACTTGTATTCTAATGCAAAGTGTCTCCTCTATGTCATTACACTGCAAAAAAAATCTCTTTTTTATGTATGTGTATCACAGGAGTAATTTTCTACCTCAGGTGGCCAGCTTGTTCCTCCCTTGCATCATTTCTCTGTGTTGGTTATTTCTTTGTTTAATATTTTTGCCCAATATCTTGTTGACTAAGTAAAACAAAAGTTAGTATTTTCAAATTAAAACAAAACAACAAAGTTTAATATTGATTGAAAATGTGTTTGATTAGATAAGTGTTTTTAAAATTCAGGATGAATGTGAACTTTATGTATTAATTCATCCATTTACTCTTTACTGAGGCTAGTTAGAGCAATGCATGTCCTGTCAGAAAAGAGCTGTACTTGAGATATTTGGGGCCAAACAAGCATAAATCAGGTTTTGTATGGGACAACTATATCTGAAGATATAGGAAAAACAGAATTGGTGGAGTGTCATTTTTTTCATGTTGGTTGGTTGGTTGGTTTGGGGAAAGCTTGAAGGACTGAAAGGGCTGGATTTCAACTGTTTCAGAAAGTAGTTAAGAATCAAATTGCATACCCTTCATGTGGATTTTTTAATATCTAATACTTAAAGATTACCTTAAATTCTTTTTTCTTTGCAAAGTTTCCTCAGGTAAAAGTAGGAGTCAAATAAGCTACCTCTGTGCAAAAGCACAACACCATAATAAAAGCGTGGAGAAAGTTGATGAACATTTGGAACACTTAAGAAATGAAGGTGGCAGGGAGAGGTAATAAGTATGGACAAGAAAAGTCTCTTTCAATCTTGTGTAGAAATCTCTAATGGGGCAGTTTCTTAGTGCAGCTGTTAAGTTACTGATGATACCTTGTAACGGGCTGAATACTTCAGTCAGACCTGGCAAAGCATTTAATCATGTGTTTAACTTTATGTCTGCAAAGTTCCATTATGTTCACATGCTATGCGTAATTTTATTCTTTTGCTATTTCTAATCTACTCTCACATGCACACATGAACTCACCTATTCTATTGATATGAACTAAACACACAGAAGAATGAGTGGATTAAGGCTGGAAGACTGAATAACTTGATGTACAATTTAAACTTTGCTGAAGTGTCTTTTTAGGTCCTTGTACCACATTGCATGCTATAACTTTTTTGATAAAGAAATGAAGTGGTCCATTCTGAGAGTCAGCAAGATTAGTCTGTAGGAAAACCACAGGTTTTGTTTTGACTATTTGTATGTCATTTTACCATTCTTTATTTAAAAGGAGGTGTTTCCTTGTTCCTTTTTTTTTTGCTGCACTAAAAATTCCTGTGTTGAAATTAAAAATAAATTGTTTTCTAAAAAATTCTAAATCCAAACTTGTTTTCAAGGCTTATTTTGAAACTCTCAGTATCAGTTTTGCAATATTTAGTTTAGTTCATTTTACAAAATAGATAATTAGGGGTGTCACACACATTTTGAAATTTTGGTATAGTTACATAGGAATTTTGTCCCACTCTTGATATGCTGAGGGGATTTTTTTTTTTAATTAATAAAATAATAGTGTTATCTTTGCTACTGGCAAGAAGTCTTCCATTTATTAATTTTTGTTAGATTTAAAATTTTATTTATGATGGCCATCATTATTGACATTTTTTTGTCAATCCTGAAGTGTGGAAGATAACCCTGCTTATGAAGTAATTTTATGTATGCTTTTTCTTTGGTAGAATTATACTTTGGGCAGATTTGGCAAAAGTTGCACGTAAACAAGAAGTATGGGATGTCTGCCGCGCAGCATGCAGATTTTGTCTCTTGTATGATGATACTTTGTTTAGGAAGGTAACAAAATCTAAAAAAAGTAAGTGAACAAATTATTTTGAATGTTGTTAAGAGGAACTTTTTCCTCATTTATTAGAGTTACTTGAAGGAGTCAGCCAATATTATTATGTTCTTCCCTCCCATTCCCGAAGTTCCCTGAGACTCTCATCTGTCACTGCATGTTGGCATACATGGAATATTCTTTCTACCTCTGAATCTAGAAATCAGTCATTATGTTTTTCTGTTGAAACCATACTCTGCCTTCAGAAGTGTTTCACCAGTGCTAAAGAAAAGTACTTACATGAAATATATCTACCTGTCTCAGAAAATAAGTTCATTCCTTAATGGTCATCTAGGTCCATATTATCCATCTCTGTCAATTACCTGAGGAAGCCGAAGAAAAATGGATTATCAGTCCCTTTGTATGATACTCACGCGATAACATTTTTTACCCTTTATACCCTTATTAGTGGTTCCTCTGAGGTATCCACCATATTGTTTGTGCTTGTTCCTTGAGGGTCTGCTGGAAACCTACTGCACATGTTACAAGAGTTCTCAGCTCAGGGAAAGAGCACTTTCAAACCACTAGATACTTGCTGACTTTTACATATATCCGTTAAAGGGGTTTTTTTTTGCCTGGGAGTTGGTAAAACTCACCTTTAAGAATAGATGAAATTCTAGTACACACCCTGTTGGCTGGTTTTTTTTTTCTCTAGCCAATTTTAATTAAACGTATTCCACATTTTTTCTCTAGATTTGTTTCCAAGGTCCGCTTAAAATAGGGCATTAGTTTACCTGTTTTCTTTCACAAGTTTTGCATCTCCACACTAGCCATGTTTCGTCTTTCAAATCTTTTTCAAACTAAAGGGAAAAAGAAGTACTTGCCAGAAACTCAGGGCAACCATGCACCAAAAGCATCATTAATAGAAACTGGTATGTTCTTTTTTTCTTTCACATGTTTTGCATCTCCAAGGTAAAGGTGTCTTTCTCATACTCTGAATGTTTACAGGGCTTTATAATTCTGTCTGTGTCAGTCTAAACACTTTTCCAGCGTAGGCAGGAGATCAAGACACTTTCCATCTCTGTTCAGAAGCATTTCAAATGGTTCAATCGAAGTTTGTTACGAGGTTGCTGAAGTTAGTTGATGCTTTCAGAAGCAGAACTTCACTAGAAATCAAACAATAACTGTGACCTCGATGAAGGTCTCCATTCTCAAGAACTGTAGAGTGGCCTCCTGGAAATCCATTCATACTTACCATTGAGTGCTGCATGTTTCTGTAAATGCAAAGGAAAGAATGCTGCATTTGGTGGAGCAGTTGAGGTAATCTATTCTGGGCAGTTTCTAACTGTGGGAATACTACTTGTAGTTAAATGAAACGTGAATAAGCTTGTAGATACTCAAGGCAGGAAGAGAAATTTATGGTTGACTGGAGTTCTCTGAGAACTGTTGACACCGTTCATTTTCATGTTCCAGTTAATTTTACTTTCCTACTACTAATTGTTAGATTTGTGGGTGAGGAAAATGAAAGATAGTCTTTATCATATTGAGGATAGGGCAACAATAATGATTGTACTGTGAATACCCTCTACAGAGGCTTGCTGGGTTGTCAGGCCTGAATAAAGGCAAATAATTCAAGGTGTTCTGGTGTTACAGAAATAGAACATACCAGTTCCTATTAATGATGCTTTTGGTGCATGGTTGCCCTGAGTTTCTGGCAAGTACTTCTTTTTCCCTTTAGTTTGAAAAAGATTTGAAAGATGAAACATGGCTAGTGAGGAGAAAGTAAATACATGTGATTAGTCTAGGAACCAGGAGCAAACCAGTCAAATTATAAAACTGTGGGTTTTAAGAAAACAAAAACATTACTTTTTAACACAAATTAAAAGGTTATTTTTGACTGTTGAAGTATGATTTAAAAAATTAGTCAAAGACTAATAAGTTAGATTTATCAGAGTATTGGACCTGATGGATCAAACAGAACCTCTGGTTCAGGAGATTGTTTGGACACAGATTCTGAAAAACTGTGAAGATAGGCCAGGAAAAAAACGTAGCTTTGTGTATCCTACTTTTTATGCCTTTCCTTAAACACTCACTGTTTGCCAACAACATAGAGGGAACCCACTGTGACAGCTTTTATGCCCTTACTTCGTGTTTATATTAAAATAATCTTGGTCCTTTCTCTTCATTATTAAACCAAAGAAAAATAATGCTGTTTTTCTCTTTATTGATGTGTATGTTGCCATAAAGTCAACCCCATCCATGATTTAAACAAGTGAGATTTTAGCCCCAGCATAATGTCCAGCACTCCACTTCCATTGAAGCAATAAAATTGAACTAGAAGCTATGGGTTATATTCATACTAATGTAATTTCAATATGCATGTTATAACTGGAGCAAGTTATTTACTGCAAATATTGAAGTTTATGCACAAATGCAGTGGGTTTTGAGCGCAATAAATTGTACTGATGAAAAAAAATATTGAGTTGAAGTAATTTTAAACCTGTACTTGTTAACTCTTGCTTGTGGATTTAAGAATGTGTAGGGATTTAAAATTTTAAAATGAAGGTGATTTTTTTTTTTCTGATTTGCATGGTAATAATAATGGGTTTATTTATTTATTTATTTTTAGCACAGAAGAAGAAAGCTAGTACAACTACGATAGATGATGATCAAGGTGACAGCTTACCAGGAGAATCATTACTACCTGCTAAATCCTTCTCTTTTGAAAGAGATTTACTCAGAATATTAGCAGAAATAAGATTCATTAACGCAGAGGTAAATAAATTGCACTCACTCAATAATTTGCCATTCAAATTTGTTTCATTTAGCTTTATTTTATGTATAATTTTACGTATAAATCTTAAAGCACTGGAATTCTGAGTTTAATTTTTGTCTATCTCCATAGGAACTAAAGGAAGAAGTAGTTTCATGAAGCATCTTTATAAAAATACTGTGTGAAAGTAACTATAGCAATAGTTTCACTGCAGGGATTCTGTTGTAAATGTTTGACATGTGACATTATATTTCTGGAGCCTTAAAGTTCCAGCATGATTAAAAAAAATATATATATAGATATAAAATATCTCAATGAAATTACTTAGTAAAATTAGTTGTAGACAATTGGAAGATTATGATGTATCATAGAATCATAGAATCATTTAGGTTGGAAAAGACCTTCAAGATCATCGAGTCCAACCATCATCCATGACCACTAAAATATTTTTTAATATAAATATATTATAAATATAAATAATATAAATATAAATATTTTACATTGTATTTCATATAGTTGTACATGCGTGTACAACATCTGAAAAAGCATTTTGTATTTCTTAATTTTTGAAGAGGTAACAACACTAATACTAAGTCACGGTCTATTTTCACAATGATAACCTGGGTAGAAAATTTATTTCTCTGTATCTTTCCAGGCAACTGTTCATTTATTAAGATTGCAGGGAATTGAACTGAATGATCATGCTGTACCTCCAGAAGGTACAAGCCAGTATCATCCAGGAAATGGTTCATATCTTCCCGAAAGTGATCCAGAATGGAAAACATACAGGTACTTTTCTTTAATATATAACAAGACCTTGGAACTCCTGACAGATTTTTATTATCACACACAGATGATAATTTTTGCAAGTTTTCTTCTTAGTAAAATTCATCGTTACCAGATGCTTCATATTTGTAGGTAGTCATGGTAATGGGAAAAGAATATAAAAAATAATTTGAAATAATTTTTCTTTAGTTTGCTTTCATTGTGGAGTGTGCATTTTATTTTTCATTTAACGTTTATTTCTCTGAAACCAGAAGCTAGTATCCCAACCTTTAAAACTATTAAATCTGTGTTATATTGACATTTAGACCATGAAATTCTATATTTAAAAATATATTTCCCCAAATAAAAAAACTCTTTGTCTTGCTTTAAAGCTTCTATAACTATAATGATGTCTGAGTGCCCGAATACATGCAATGAATTACTTCAGTTTGCAAAACTATAGTGTTCCATCCAATCAACTGAAATGAATAAGGGAGAGTAGAACATAGCAAGTATCTTTTTTTTTTTCTGGTCTCACACAATTATTTCTTGCAAAGGAGGAGAGGGGGGAGAATCCTGAAGGTGATATTTAAAATCTCTTCTGTTCACATTCATATTAATATTAGCCTTATTGTGACAGTAGTCATGTCATGAAAGAGTAGAATGTCAGAGTTGTGTCCCTAAGTTTGTTCATTAAGTCTGAAGATTAAGTAAAGTTTCTCACACGGCTTGCAAATGTTCAGTAAAATGGGAAAAAGTATAAACTGATCAGAACCAAGGGACAAAGATGATGAGGATTCTGTTCCAAAATTTTCTACTAAGCTGTTTTTGAGTTTACCCAATTAGATTAAGAACTCATAGGAAAAAAGCACTTTGGTCTACTGTGTTCCCATGCCATTGTTGACATAGTAATATGCTGTGTCAGTTTGTGATTTTGGTTTTGTGACTTAACCATGGCCATTCTTTATGGTCATTGAAAAATGTATTTTTAATACTGCTTTTTCTAAGTAATGCTACATCTTGATAATTAAGAAGAAAAAAGAAATAAAGTTATTGAAAGAGTTATTGCATAGACTTATGAAAAAGATGTTATTCTATTAAAAGTTATTTTAGCATTTCAGAACATTTGGAGATATCTTTGAGTGCAAGAACACATGCAGTTGTTAGGTGAAAAAGACGCCTCCTTAACATTTGAATGGAATGCCTTACTTGTATCTGTATTCAAGTAGAGTCCTGTCATGGATATTTAATTAATGATTTCTAGCACAGATGTGTAGATTCACATCAGCATTTAAAAAAAACATGTGGATGAAGCATGAACTATAGCCACTATTTTTTAAGCTAATAGCATTTGAGTGTCAGAGACTGTTCATTTTATGTTGATGCTAATTCCTTTCCTGAGTCATCTTCTCATGCAAGTAAAATGTAAGTTAATGGATGAAGACTTAATAAATGCAACTGAAAAGTAATTACAAATTTTTTGTTGTTGTTGATTGAGATGTACTACTGCATATTTAACCTCATGATATAATTCCTTTTAGTGATGAAGTTTTGGAATAAAAGCTTCTTTATACTGATTTTATAGTTTATGGATAGACTACTTATCTCGGTATGCTATGGAAAACTTTCAACGTGCAGCCAAAATAGGAGAAGAACTGAATGAAGCCTGGATCGTTCACAATGCTGTGGTGTATATCTTAAACTACAATAGACATCTTATCTCTTCAGGAAGACAGAGGGAAATTATTGAGTATCTGCAGACTCTTCTTGGAGCCATCAAGACTGTTGGGCACAATGGGTAAATTTAGATGTTTGGTTATGAACATGCTGGTTTTTTCTAAAACACAAAAAATATTTTTACAAACAATGTAAATCACTGTGTGCTGTGAAAGACTTATTGCTGGCTTTCACTAGTAGTAGAAGGACTTTGGTATACAGAGTAGTTCAGAAGTTAAATTTAATTTTGTGGTGTGAAAATGACTTTTTAATCCTTTCTATTTGTTCTTTGTTACTATTCACTAAAAACCGTATTAACTTTAGACTAAGCAATATTAATTTCTCTTCATTGTGGAATAGCAACATGTGCATGTGAAATAGCATTTTGTTAAGCTAGTCGGAAAGAATCAGGAACATTTTCTTAGCCTGTGAGTTTCCAGGACAGCTCAAAATGTCTTTGCTTGTTGTCAGTTGCTCTGAAATTGAATTATGTTGTAAATATAATTAATTCTAAATATTTCTAATTGGAGTAAGGTGGCTACTATTGGTTCTGAAATAGGAAAGAGAAAAAAAAAAATAAAGGGAATGTGCACATTCATAGACCATGAAAATGGGAACATAGATTCCACAGTGGTTTACAGAAATTCTGTTCTGTAGTAAATGCAATGGGAGAATGATTGACTATGATGGAGGAGATGCTCAAGTCAAAGTCTGACTGTGCGACAAAATCCTAGAAATTTTACTACATTATTGACAGTGACCTCAGCACTAGGCAAACTGTTAGGACCAGCAGCAAAGAAGGCTCTTTTAACAGTATTTGAGAACAAAGCGTAAAGTGCAGTTTGTGCAGAGATGAAGACTGGTAATACCTGCTTATTAATTCTGATATTTATATTAGCATGTTTCAGCAATAATCTCTTAATCATAATTCAGTTTGTGTCTTCACAAAAAAAAAAAAAAAAGGTAATTCCAGCTCGGCAGTTGGTCAGCATGAAGAGTAATACAGTGTAATAAATAAATGGTTTTATGTGAGGGGTTTGGCTTAGGTTAATTTTTTAGGAAATGGTTATTATTTTCATGCATAGCAGCCCACTAATAAAAAAGTATATTTTAAATGTGTTTGACATAAATATTTTTAAATTTTTTTTCCCGTGAGGAAATAGAAGCTTCAATTATAGAAAGAGCTGAAAAAATAGGATATAAACTATGAAAGTTGGTTGTGGTTTTTTGTATTTCCAATGGGAAAATTTTTTGTAACATCCATAATTTTGCTTTCTAAGAAAAATCTAGATTTTCAAGTAATGTTTATTACTTGAAAGTAATAAACTTTATTACTTCCTCTCATTTTGATCTGATGCAGTATGCAGTTCCGATTTTTGTTTTCTTCTACAGAAGTACTGTGATTTTATTGATGTTATGTAATGCATTGGCTCGGGGCTTAATTCTTTGTTGGATTCCAAAGCCAAAACTTGCTGAGGAAAAAAAAAAAGATGCAGCGACAGACAGAAGCAGAAAAGCTGCAGCAAAGAAACATGAAAAAGCAAATGTCATCCAGCCTTTTTCAGTAGATCCCAGTGGACTTCCTGATATCAAAGCTGCCTTAGAGGTACAAAGCCCTCATTTTTTGTAGTCTTTTTTGGTCTGCTGTCATATATTACAATTCATACAAATTAAATTGTAGAAATTTTTGCAGAAAGTAAGCTACCATCTTTTACAGTTCCTGCCACCATAGGTCCTCTCCAAATACACACTGAAGTTCCTTACCAACTGGGGCTGAGGACTGTAACTTTTATTCGTCGTATGGGTTGACTTAATGGAGATGTCGTTAGGCTTAGAAATGCATGTGCAATAACTTTAAGATAACTAATGGATGGAATGTTCTATGCAAAGAGCTTTCTACATTTCTCCTATGTTTCAGTCTTTTTTTTTCTTGGTGTTTAGATTTGTGAATTTGCCCTAAATGTGACAACTGGAACCATACCTAATGAAACAGTACCTGTTGCTGCACAACAACAGATCATTGCTACATGGGTGAAAGCAAAACAGTTAAATCAGCAGCAGATCAGCTGTAAACTTGGGACTGAGGAGGAGGTATTGTTTCTCTGAAATCCTGCATAATGTTGAAACTTTTATTTGAAAAATTAAATTCATAAATTCATTTAATAATGACTGAAATTATCAATGTGTATTTTCTTCTGTATATTTGAATACAATGTGAAAATAATTTTTGGGTGTCATTTCCATAAAACTTTATGGAATACAGCAAATTTTTCACATTGGGCATAGCAGTGAGTCTACATTTCTTAAGTCTACCTTCTGTTTTTAGCTGCCAAGAATATTTATGGTGATGTTTGTCATATAATGACTGTATAACGAAGTTGGGTTTGAATTCATACATTTAAAATAATAAAATAGCTACCTTAAAAATGTTAAGAAAAATCAGCTATATTTATATCAACATTTAATACAGTCTCTTTATATATAGAATATGGATCTACTCAGTTGGAAAGTAATATTTTATTCCTATCTTTTTATTTTATTATATCTATAAAACTGGAATCCCTCAGTGATATATGGAATTTACATTCATTGTATTGTTGCCATGTAATATTTTTAATGTTGAAACTGTAGTAGTTCAGAGTTCACAATGTTAATTAAAAATAAATAAATAAATACATAAAATCCCCCATAAGAAGGGCACAATAAAGAAAGGAAGACTTGCTTAATGCAAATTGAGGTTTTCAGACATAGTTATTATTACCTTGTCATATCAATTAATGTCCTTAATAATGTTTACTTGCAAAAAAAAATCTTTTAATGTTAAATTTTTATTTCTGCTTAGAATAATGATGAAGCACAAAATCCTATGGCAAGAATTCTTGTTGGTCTAGAAATGTATTCATGTAATGGCTTGGGTCTCATGGATTTCACTGTTCCTAGCTTACCTCAGGTATTTAATTTTGTTTTATTAGCTTTGGAGTTTTAAGAAATTGCATCGTATAAATGTGATTTCAGCTTTGGATGGAGGCAAAATTAATTTTGAAACTTTTACTGTACCATTATTTCCTTTAAAACTTTCCAAGAGACTGAATAGTTATGACAGGTATAAGATTTTTTGTGACTGAATTTTTTCATTTATCCAAAAAACAGATAGCATTAGAATACCACTATTAGAATTATGCCCATGTTGCTCTAACAGATTATGTCCATAAGCATCAGATGAGCATAATGGGTTCATATGAATTCTGTACAGAACCATACTTCTGACCTTTCATTTTTTGTGGAGAAAACTTTATAGAATCATAAAATCATTTAGGTTGGAAAAGACCCTTAAGATTGAGTACAACCGTTAACCTAACACTGCCAAATCCACCACTAAACCATGTCCCTAAGCACCACATATACACATCTTTTAAATACCTCCAGGGATGGTGACTCAACCGCTTCCCCGGGCAGCCTGTTCCAATGCTTCACAACACTTTTGGTGAAGAAATTTTTCCTAATATCCAATCTCAGCCTCCCCTGGTGCAACTTGAGGTTGTTTCCTCTCGTCCTATCACTTGTTACCTGGGAGACACCGACCCCCACCTCATTACAACCTCTTTTCGGGTAGTTGTGGAGAGGTGTATTTTAGAGTTTGTATTGGAAGTATTCAGAATTTCAACAGAAAACTTCATGTTACAGTGAATTCACTTTTGGCAGTTGAAGGCAGAACACAACTACAATTTGTTACTATTTAAAGAATTAGGTGTCTTTTGATAAGTCTTATACCAGGCATAATTTTCTTAAAGTACTTGCCTTTGATCAGTCTTCCATGATTACTCAAGCTGAATGATGCCACAGTTTTCCTCTGGTCCTGTTGGTTACCAGGCTATTCAAGAGGAATAAAGGTGGCATAGAAAGGTTTATACCTTGTATTTACAAAACAGTGAGTTGTAGTCTTACCTGTTTGATTACCACATCTATAATTTCTACCTCCTGTAAAGAGCTTTCTTAAAGGAATAAGATGTGTTTCCTCATTTAGCTAGGAATCTGGTGACATTGTCTAACACTTTTCTAGAAGTCCTTCTTTCTAAAGACTAGGATCTGGGTCCTTATAAATATATGCGTATCTAATTCTAGTTGGTCTACAGATTTATGCCAAATATTATGAGTTAGCTTTAGCTATTACTTCAGTAGCTTAGTTTTGGAGAGCAATATTGTAGTATCCTCATTTTGACCAATTCATAAACAGTTCCAATTATCTTAAAAAGATGGAACTTTCTGACTGACGCATGCAAAAGCAAGGAAGATGTTTAGATCCTGTAATGAAACTATATATGAAACACTTGTTGTAAAACCAGTTCTATCTCCTATTCTTACTTTTGGCTTAACTAAAATGGGCTCTGAATGTCGGAAGTCCTGTTCCACTGATTTTCAGAAGAGGAACTGAGAACATATAATAAATCCTGGCAGATACTGCTGGTTGGAAGGCGTGCACACTTACAGCTGGATTTGCAAACACTATTATAATACAATGGTGAACAATGCTTCTCTATTGTATATTTTGATTGTTCTTGTAACTTGTTGTTTTTCTGGATTGTTTTATCCCATACTTGTTCCATGTCCAGGTGAGTTGTATGCAAGGTACAGCTGTAAGCTTTGAAGTGCTATAGAAAAGACCATGATAAAAACCTGAGATTTAAACTCTCTTCTTTTTTCTTTTCTCCCCCCCCAACCCCCAGTTAGTGAAATTGGCTTTAGAATGCAGTTGGTCAGATTCCTTAGTGGAATTGCAGACGCTGACACGACTAACATATTTTGCATATGTATCACATGACTATGAAATAGTGATGACTTGTTCTAAAAGGATCTTGCAATCAGATGAGAATTTTTTCCACAGTACAGATACTAAAAAATATGAAATGTAAGTACATGGAATTTTGTGTGATATTGTGGTATACTTGAACTAAGTTTTGAAGAAAGAGTATATAGGGTAAATGCATCTGATCACAAAATCAAAAGTGAAAGAATCTTTTTTTTACAAAGAAACTGTACACTTAGAGGTGAAAAGTGAAATAGTGAAATTTTTCTACTTCTGCTGACTCTGTCATTATCAGTTACTTAAGTACTGCAGATGATGTTTTAACTCTTCAGCATACCCTGAGTAAAAGGCAGTGTGAGATCCAGATTGTGGCTCTGGACCCAGTTCAGGAAGATACGTGAATTTTGTTATTCAAGTGAGTCAACAGGTCGTATATGCATGTGTTTGATGTCTTCCTGGGGGGCATTGCTTTTCTGAAGTTGTATCTGGCAATCGTGGTCTTTTCTCACTTTTATAATTTCCAAGCAGAATGTAGCTTGTTCTAGTTCTTTCACTGATGCAAATTGCTTCCAGTGCTGAACTGGCTCTAACACACAAAGGGTCTACACAGATCATGGAACAAGATGGAACTGTGAGTGATAAAAGGTGATAGCAGCTACTACATTCCAAGCTCTGGTGTCAGGTAGTCTTTATGGTCTTTATTACCACCTATGCATATCGGTGCGATAGGAATATAATTAATTTCCTTAAAAGCCCAGTGTGTTTCTTAACTGATAATTTAAAACTTTGATCTCAAAGAAAAAAAGAAAAAAAAAGGTTTTGTATATAAACAGATCTGTTGGTAGAGTCCTTTATTATAAAAAGGTGATATCCTTCAATCCTTCTATTTTTTAGTACAATTTCCTCTAAAAACAGAATGTAATCTTATCAAAAGACAAAGGAATCAACTCCATTTAGTAACAATTTGTTGTAATATAGGAAGTTTGAAATGAAAATCTGAAATACTGAGAATATAATTTATTGTTAATTTTTCTCTCTAAAAAATATTTTATCTTTAAAAAAAAAATCCTGCTCTCTGAAATTCATGTTGTTTGCTACATGGGGAAAAACATGTAGACCAAATAAGATGCCTTAGTATGAAATACATAGTTTCAGAACATTGCAGAAATTGAGAAGACCCTTGCTGCATATCTAGCAATCTGCAAACTAGTGAATGATAAAATGTTTGATTCTTTGACAAAGAAATGAAGTAATGGATTGTCAGTGCTGTGTCCAGAGAAATGGAAGATACACTTAGTCTTCCCATGGTAAAGCACAACTTCAGGATAAAGAAAGGTTACATTTTTAACTCTTTGTTGTTGTTGTTGTTAACTTGTACTGTAGAACACTGGTGTCCTCTTGTGGACACAAATCATAACTGCATGATAATTCTCACCACAGCATAGGAACGAGGCCAACTAGAATGTCTACATTTCTGTATATGGTTGCACATTGTAACTAAAACCTTTAAAAATATCTTGCAAATTGTATTATTACTTTTCTTACAAAATCACTATTAACCAAAGGTATCAAATTTATTTACTTATTTATCTTGAACTGATTAACTGCTGGGACTGAAATCTACGTTCTTTTCTTTTAAATGTAGTGGAATATGATCCAAATCAATTTCTCCAGAGCCCTGTGCATACTTTACCAGACATAAGTAAGACCAATTCCAAAAGAAAGTATCAAAAACTGTATAATTTTCCCTATTTCTGTTTTTAATTGCTTGCTGTGTAAGTTTGACTTTGCACTAATGTTTTGTTTGATATACAACAGTGAATAATGGGGAGAAAAAAACCAAATCTATTTTCTCCCCTTGCTAAATGTAGATAATAATTTTTTAAATCTGATTTCACAGTTATTTTCATTAGAGCTGTGAAAAAGATATTTAATTTCTGATACCTTTTCACAAGATGTTCAGTTCAAATATTTTCTGATTTTAAAAGAAAAGTCAGTAGAAGCATTTGTAACTTCCAAGGCTAGGGACATCTATTTAGTAACAACTTGAAAACATCATTAATAGGAACTGATATGTTCTTAGACTCTAAGACTAGCACTTCTTGAATTATTTGCCTTTATTCAGGCCTGGTAACAGACTGAGACAAGAAATGTTAAGCACTACTGCCTGTATACAAGGAAAGAGTATAATGGAAAATTTGTCTGGAAGAAAACATTTGCGTGTAGCAGCATCACAAGCCTTTGTTCAGAGTGCCAGGTATGTTTTATTTTGAGAGAAGACTAATATAAAACAGACGTAAAATTTGATTTACAGATTCGGGGATCAACGTATTCTCTCCCAAGACTGATAAAAATCAAAACAGTTGTAAGTTGAAATGCTTAACAAGGGATTTGACAGATTTTTTACACTTTAGTAAATTTATCAAGTACCTTCCACATAGCTGTCATAGGTTCATAGGAAAATCTGGTTGGAAGGGACCTCAGAAGGGCTCTAGTCCAAATTTCTGCTCAAAGCAGGGCCAGCCCAGGGCTTTATCCAGTCTTGTCTTGAAAACCTCCAGGAATGGAGACTGCACAACCTCTGTGAGTAACCTGCTCCACTGCTTGACTGTACTCATGGGGGATAAGGTGCTGCTTATATCCACTCTGAACCTTTCTTATATCGACACCTGTTCTTGCTTGTCCTACCATCCTCTATGAAGAGCCTGGCTGCTGCTTCTCAACAACTTTTTTAGGTTATTAAGAAACTTCTCCTTGTTAGATCCCCCAAAGCCAACTCTTCCCCACGCTGAACTAGCCCTATATTCTCAGCCTCTCTTCTCAAGGCAGGTGCTCCAGTCCCTGGATCATCTTGGTGCCCCTCCACTGAGCTTGTTGCAGTTTGTCCATGTCTGGTTTGTGTTGGGTGGCCTAGAACTGGATGCAGTAGTCTAGATGTAGTCTAAAGAGTGCTGACTAGAGGGTGATAATTAGTTCCCTCAATCTGTTGTCTGTTCCTGTTAATACAGCCCAGGATGCTGTTGGCTGTTGTTGCCAGAGCACACTGCTGGCTTGTTCTCAGCTTGCTGTCCACCAGGACCCTCACGTCCTTTTCAGCAGAGCTACTCCTCAGCCAGTCAGTCCTCAGCCTCTACTGTTGCAGACAATCATATTAACATTGTGAACTGTATGTCATGAACCCAAAGTGGAAAGGTTGCTTTAAATAATGAATAGGCAGGAGAATGTGTTACATGGATGATGCATGACTTTGGTATGAATTCTTTGCTATTTGGAAGAAATAAATTAATGAGCAAAAGTAGGCTATTAGAACTCTTAGAAGATGAACATGTGATGGCTGATGTGAGGCTGTTAACATTGTAATACTTTATTCCTTCCATTGATCATTAAAAAGAGAGTGATGAATGAAGTTAGACTAGCCAGCATAACAGAACTCTAAGGTGATGTCATGTTGTGGATGAATCTGTATTTTTTTAAATTTGCATGTTATGACAAGCACTTTTTCAGGAAGGACTGAGCATATGTGTAGAGCTCAACACATTCCAAACAGGAGACAAAAAGCGGTGAGCAAAAACTAGGCCTTAGTAAGTCCAGTGTTAAGATATAAGGTGTGTGAGCATATGGACTCTAAAAGTCATGAGACTGTGGGAGAAAATGACAAAGATTGCCAGATTCAGAAACTACTTTTTTGAAAATAGTAAGACGATTAAATGGGTGATTGTTTAATACCAATCTGTAATTTTTAGCTAAATTCTAAAGCTTTTGCTCACTCATATGAGTAATGTGTTATATCACAATCTGGAGGATTATTGAATTTTAGTAATTCAAAGTAACATTTGCATGGAACATGCTCAAAACAATTTGAATGCAGCTAGAGGCATTTGGGGTGTATTCTTGTGTTACAGTGGTACTGTACTATGCAAAATCCATAGCATTTTAATAATTGTTTTATTCTAGTTTTTAATGTTTTTAGAATGAGAAATTAACATAATAGGGAGCCAAAAAAGTAGATTATTCCAATGAGAGCATCTTGAGTAGATATCTGCTATCTTTTTAATGAAGGCTCTTGAGCTAAGATGACACAGAAATACAGTAAAATTGTCAATATGGTACTTGTTTATTGCTACTTCTGCTGAATGTGTGAACGTGTTTTGTATATAAAAATGGAAAATACCTTTTGTATGAAGTTCATATGCTGACCCCTCATTGCTGAAATTATATATGGTGGTGCCTAGATCAGGTAAACCAGGATGTTTGTAGAAGTAAAATCCTTTATTTTGGCTAGAGTGTGATTGTTTTCCTTCATTAAGCTGTACTTCACTTTCTTCAGGTACGCAGGTGAAGCCGGAAATTATTCCCTTGTAATGTTTGCAGCTAGACACTTTTGGAATACATGTTTACCTTTGCTAGGTTCTCCACATGACAGAGAGCATTTTAAAGAACCTACTGAAACAATTCTTAAGAGTATAATTAAAGCAGAATCTAAAAATAAACAGGTAAGAATATCTAATAGGTATTTTTAATTGTGCTGGTGTTTAGTGATGATAAAGAAAAATTTTGGTTTGCTCTGAAGCTTTGGGTGCATACTTCAAGATACCTTTCCTAAGAGGGGAAAGTGACTTATTTGTCATAAACACATATATGGTTTCTTACCTGCATTCATATAGCATGCATACACACATACAGGGAATCACATACTCTTTTCTTCCATTTGCTTGTTCTTCTGGTTTTAGACAACTGTCAAACTCGCAACAGTTTTCTTCAAAATAATTTGCTGTCTGAAGGGCTGTAGTGTTTCACTTTGTGAAGCTTACAAAAGGGAATGTTTAGAAAATACTCAACAGAAAATCCAGAAAAAAATCAATCACTTCCATAAAGGATGATACTAGATCTTAAAACAAAAACTCAGGGGAAAAAAAAAGAAATTAAATTAAGGTTCCCCACACCTGCAGATTCCAATTTCTCTTCTAACTGCAAAAAGAAATTTTTACTTTGCTTATCTTCAGTTTTTTAACAGACTTATAATTCAAACTGTGCTGGGAGTCAGTGATAAAATTAAATGCTTGTTGATTATGAACAGCATGTGTAAACTGAAGAAGTCATCCCTTTGAAACAATATATAGGTGATGTGTATCATATAACGGATCTCACCATATGACGTTTCTTCTGCACACTGAAACATCCCTACTCATTTACAACTTTTCTTACTTCAAAATTCCCTGGAGCTGATCCATTTCTGTTTCTAGATTTTATTTACATGTCATTGAAGCTGATGTGAGTTTTCCTGTACGTTTCCGTGGGCACAATTTCAGTTAGAGCTTGAAGGCTTTATTAATAACTCTTGCATTCAAGCTCAGTGGTACCAATGTGAGTCTGCATCTCAGATCACTAAGCATTGTAGAACAAGAATAGAAAACTTAATTTTGGTTTCTCCTCAAGCCATGTATAAATCCCAAATAATCAGACGTGGTGACTAGTCTACTTGATTCTAGGTGCGTAGGAGACAGAACTGATGAGTACACTGTGTCTTGGAAGCACAGTGAAGGTTGTGAACTTAATGGAACTTCAACAGTGTTTGGATATATAAGAGTAATTGCCCATAGGCACAGTTCTAAAGGTCTAGTTATTTGCAGAGATTATGTATTAAAACCAATAAAAAGGAATATTTCATTATGTATATATAGTTAACTCACTACCAGAGCATATTTTCAGAGTGAACCCCTAATAAGTTATATTAAAAAGTGAGACATTAATGTAGATAATGAAAGTATAGAGTTAAACATAGCATAGACTTTTTATGTCTGATAATGTTAGTAATTCTTGTGAGTTAGGCTATACAGTAATTTCTGATATTAGTTAGAAAAAAAAATTCCTATAAACAGAGCATTCTGTATTTGATTATTTCCAGAGTTACTGAAATTTCTTTTGTATACTGTAGTAACCATTGTAAGAGGCAGGAACTGGTCTCCAGTGATTCTTGATCAGGCTAACTCTAGGCAATTTTTAAATGCAGTCACATCTGAAGAAGCATATACCAGAAGGTAACTTTTAGTTTAGTTCAGCAAGACAATGGTTCATTTACTTGAGATATATACCAGCCTGAAAACTGAAAATTGGTTAAAAAAAGCCCAACAAACAAACGCAAAGTAAAAGCAAGTACTACTTACTAAAGCTTTACCACTGCTATTACTAGCTTTCTTAAAACAAGATTACGGATAGTTTTTTCTCTGTTTGCTGTGGTCAGCATTGAAGCTGTCCTTTACCCTCACATTACGTCCATAGAATCATAAAATCATAGAATGGTTTGGGCTGGAAGGGACCTTTAGAGGTATCTAGTCCAACCCCCCCCTGCCGTGGGCAGGGACACCTTCCACTAGACCAGGTTGCTCAAAGCCTCATCCAGCCTGACTTTGAACACTTCCAGGGAGGGGGCATTCACAAACTCTCTGGGCAATCTGTTCCAGTCTTTTACCACCCTCATGGTAAAAAATCCCCTCCTTATGTCCAATCTAAACCTACCCTTTTTCAGTTTAAAACCATTGCCCCTTGTCCTGTCACTACAGGCCTTGGTAAAAAGTCTCTCTGTTTTTCTTGTAAGACCCCCTTCTACGTCGAAAGGCCACCATAAGGTCTCCCCAGAGCCTTCTCTTCTCCAGCCTGAACAACCCCAACTTTCTCAGCCTTTCTTCACAGGAGAGGTGCTCCATCCCTCGGACAATTTTTGTGGCCCTCCTCTGGACCTGCTCTAGCAGGTCCGTGTCTTTCTTGTACTGGGGATCCCAGAGCTGGATGCAGTACTCCAGCTGGGGTCTCACCAGAGTATAGTAGAGAATCCCCTCCCTTGACCTGCTGGTCACACTTCCTTTGATGCAGCCCGGGATATGATTGGCTTTCTGGGCTGCACGCACACATTGCCAGCTCATGTTGGTTTTCATCCACCACTTAGGCATCCAAGTCCTTCACAGCAGGGTTGCTCTCAATTCCCCAGTTTGCACTGATATTGAGGGTTGCCCCGACCCAGCTGCAGGACCTTGCACTTGGCCTTGTTGAACTTCACAAGGTTTGCATGGGCCCACTCCTCAAGCCTGTCAGGGTCCCTCTGGATGACATCCCTTCCCTCTAGCGAATCAAATGCACCACTCAGCTTTGTGTCATCAGCAGATTTGATCACTCAATCCCATTGTCTGTGTCACTGATGAAGATATTAAACAGTATTGGTCCCAGTATGGACCCTTGAGGGATGCCACTCATTATCTGTTTCCACTTGTACGTTGAGCCATTGACTGTAATTCTTTGGATGCTGCCATCCAGCCGCTTCCTTATCCATCTAACAGTCCATCCATCAAACTTGCATCTCTCTAATTTAGCAGCAAGAGGCTTGTGGGGGACCATATCAAAGGTCTTGCAGAAATCCAGGTAGATGACATCCATAGCTCTTTCCTTGTCCACTGATGCAGTCACTCCATCGCAGAAGGCCACTAGATTAGTCAGACTTTGTGCCTTCACAGAAGTAAACACTGTGACCAAATCTGATAAATCTTTGATGATGCTAATGTAATGATTACCCAAAAGTTGTAACTACAGCTCACATAATTTATTAGCATATTCCTTTATGTATTCAATGGTCAGTATATCAGTAGAACTGTGTATGGATCTATGTGTGAAACGTGATAGTGAATTTTTCTTTGAAGTTGCAAAACTGTACTGTAGAGGGGAGGGAAATGGTTATCATGTCTCTCACCTTTAAGCGAGAATTGTGATGGTCATATTTTCACAGGTAAAGCCAGCTAAGCGAAATGGGACAAGAGACATTAAGTAATGTTTTAAAAATTATCTGAAAATAGTGTGAAAAAATAAGCTGTTACTCATTTTTGACCAGAGAGGTTGTGGAGTCTCTGCTTGGAGTACTCAAAAGATGATTGAACAAGGCCCAGAGCAACCTGCTCTATTTCAGCCTGCTTTGAGCAGGGGTGTAGACTAGAGAGCTCCAGAGGGCCCTGCCAGCCACAACTATTCTGTGATTCTCTGACAGAGTACTTCAAGATTTCATGTTATTTGTTATTTAATCAGTGTAACTGATTGAATATTACTGGGTCTGGTTATTGCTGTGTTGGTTTTGTATTAAAGAACTCATTCTGGAAAAATGGCTGTGGTTTTAATCTCCTGCACAAGTAGCTATTTAAGTAACAAGTTAATAGTTCATATGAACCATATTAATTGGTTTACAAATGAAAAGGAAGCACAGTAATATTTAAAGACATATGTTAACCAAAAGATAAAAACGCTTTTTTTTTCTTTTTTTTTTTTTTTTTGTCTTTTTAGGATAAGAAAGATATGTTGCCTTTACATCAGTGGATTACAAAGGATTTTCAAAGTATTGGGTTTTCAGTTGAATGCTGTCTCCCAGGCATGTTCTTCCTTCTTTTGATCTAGTAATAAATAAAAACAAACAGTATTTTGTAATGTCATTATTCTAATTCCACAGTAAATAAATCATTTGAATATACTTCAAAGGTGCTGAGGAAGATCTGGCATTAAGAACCTCCTTATATGTGTTGTTATTCCACATGCATGCTGATAAAGCTGATTGGGAGACAGCACTAAAAGTCCTGGATGAAGCTATTCAAGTTTTGCCTCAGACAAGACACAGGCTGTAAGTTGGTTGACCTATTTTTATTAGAATAAGCATCCTGATTCTTGAGAAGTATAAAACTCTGGGTGTTTTTTTATTTTGCATTGGGCAAATATTATGATTACTTTTTGTCAGCCTGTCAGTTCTTATAACAGAAAACACTGTTGTGTCTTTTTGATGAAAAAGATGTATGTTGGCAGTGCTTCTTATCATTAATCTGTTCATAATATTTGTAAATTTCATTTTTTAAAAACTTGTTTATAAGTAGTATCTTACTTTTCCAAGAAAATAGGTGCATGAAATGTGGGTATATAGCAGAAACTTTAATTTTCCTAGCTGTAAACCCATTTACGTTAAATGGAAACTAAATTATCTAGGCTACTGTTTACATAGTCTTATCTGAGTTCAAAGATTTATTCTCTTTTATGTCGGTTTATAAACTTCACATCTCTGTAAAGTTTACATGAACTGTGTATGAACTAGTATATCTATCCTACTCACAAAGTTACTTTACAGGTACAGATGCAAGTAATTTGCAGTTTGTTTGGTCTTTTTCTAGCCTGATTTTTAAACATATGGCTACAGCGAAGGCAAGATTGGGATGCAATTTTCTGATGGACATTCAGAAGTTCAGAGATGAAAGTGAAGATTATTTGTCACATATGTGGCGCCGTTTGGTAACAGTCTCCAGAAGTATTGTTGGACAGTTAAGCTGTTTTCAAAATGCAGTCATTGCTTTACAGGTTTGTCAGTTTTTACTATATGTTCAAATGCTCATAGAATGATGCTTCTCAAGTGATTAGTGGGATTGCAAGTTGTGGGAAGGCTAGATACTTGACCATTATAACTTTGAAATTGCTCTTCAGTTGGAAAACTGTGTATGGTTGCATCTTGGTATCCAGTAAAAGTTCAACTGAGGCTTGCCAAAGAAAAATGTCTAAAAGTAGCCAATTGCAAGAAGTTTTGGTAAAGCAAAGAATTAACTGGTAGAGTTTTCTGTTACATTCTGTTTAGCTTAACTCTGATTATGTGATGTCAAACTGCTCACTGTCAATTTTTTTTTTTTGCTTCTGTTAAGACTATATTGAACTTTTTAATATAATTTTGATGGTTTACATCACCAAATACAAACAACCTCTTCCATTATTACTTTTATAGAAACAAGAAAATGAATGGCAGAAAGTTGATTATCTGCTGGAATTTGCTGAATGGTTATATTGTAAACAGTTTCCCCTCAATGATGTCATTAAACCTCTGGACTGGGCAGTAGATCTCTTGCTATATAGAAAATTTTCCATGCAATCCTCACAAGCAGAAGGTAACTAAAAGGTGTATATCCTTCAGAGGAGTTTCTCAGCAGCAAACGCAAGGGACATTTTTAATTTACAGCTTAGTTACCACAAAGAATGGCACCAGCTTGACTGTATTTTCTTCAATATTCACTGTCATTTGATCAACGCTAGCTTAAATATATCTCTGAGTTCTGTGTCATGCCATGGGGACCTACTCTCAGTCTTTTGGTGTATTAAGACACAGCTCCTATCTGACAGAGGGGTTGCTGAGTTGTGAGAGGCTACCAGAAGGCAGTGCTAGGCAATTTGTTTCAAATGCATCCTCATGAAGGGCCAGATGTAACTGTAGGTAATGGTTTCTGTGCTAAAATTTGGGTGGCTATGTCCATTGCTCTTTCCTTGGCTTTATCTAGTATTTCAGGATTGATTTTTCAAAAATTACTTTCAAAGGGATGTACGTCTTCAAGTACTTATGTAACTGTGTAAAAATTCTTTGGTCCTTTTACTTTGTGTCCACTTGCAGTAGTGTGGACTCAGTGAACTATTTTGATAGGATTCCCCATTATTTAATTGGGGAAAAAAGTATCTAATTTCTGGAACAATACTCTACTGTGTGGCATTAATCAACATCTGCTCTGCTTTTACTTTTGCGTGGACAGACAAGACAGATAAGACAAGTACTTCTGGTGTTTGCATTGAAAAAGGTAAATGTTCAGTGTCACATTTGATTAAAGTCACAGTAGCAATATTCTGTCCATACTTTTCTGTTAGTGGTTTTGTTGGGGTTTTTTTACAGCCCTATGGTAATTTAAAGTTTGTACTTCAATGATCTTCCCACCCTGTTTCACATGGTTGCTTATGGTTACTGGACTTCTTACACTGCCTATGTTCCAAGAAATTTTTTACAAAACTTTTAATGGAAACTGAAATAATATAATAAGAAAAATTAGAATCAAATATAAAGCAGCCCAGGTTGGAAGGGACCTCAAAAGATCATCTGGTCCAGCCTTTTGTGGAAAAGGGAGCCTAGATGAGATCTAGCACCCTGTCCAGCTGTGTCTTGAAAGCCTCCAATGAGATTGTTCCACTGATAGAATGTTCTCACTGTAAAAAATTTCTTTCTTATATCAAGATGAAACCTTTCCTGGTGCAACTCACACCTGTTGTCCCTTGTCCCCTCTGTGTGGCTTCTTGTGAAGAGAGAGCCTTTGTTATCTTTGTAGCTGCCCTTTAAGTACTGGAAAACTGTGATGAGGTCCCCCTGAGCCTTCTGTTCTCCACAGTGGAAAGACCTTAACTCTGTAAGATTTTCTTCATAGGGCAGGTTCTCCAGCCCTTTGATCATCTTTGTGGCCCTCCTTTGAAACCTCTCTGGTCTGTCTGCATCTTTTTTGATCTGTGGGGACCAGAACTGGACACAGTACTCCAGCTGCAGCCTTACAAGCACTGAGTACAGTGGGTGAGATTGTCACATCCCTATCTCTGCTAATAATGCCCTGCCAATGCAGCCCACGATCTGAATTGTCTTCATTGCTGTAACAGCAGACTGCTGACTCATGTTCAGCTTGTTGTCCACCAGGATCCAGGTTCTTTTCAGCAAGGCTGGTGTCCAGCTACACAGATCCTAATCTGTACTGGGCTCTTTGGTTTTGTTGTCCCAGGTGCAGGACCTTCTGCTTGTCTTTGATAAACTTCATATAGTTCTTTTTAGCCCACTTTTCCAGCCTGTCCTGGTCTCTCTGTAAAGAAGGCTTTCCCTTCTGACGTGTCCACCTCACCACCCAGTTTGGTGTCATCAGCAAATTTGGTGAGGGTGCTTTCAGTCCCATCATCCAGATCATTTATGAAGATGTTAAACAGCATGGGTACCAATTTGTAGAGGACCCCACTTGTGACAAACTGGCAGCCTGAGCAAAAACCATTGATTACCACCATCTGAGTGCAGCCTGTTAGCCAATTTCCTACCCATCTCACAGACCACCTATCCCGTCTGTATCTTACCATCTGTATCATTTATTATGAAATGATAAAATTAATCTGTTGAACTGTCCCTTTCCCTAACTTTGTACTGTGTTAGTCATGCTCAGAATTCACTTGATTTGCCTGTTACTTTAATAACTTCATCTGTGACGATCATTGGATTATGTGATGTTATGTTACTGCACTCTGCTTTATGTTGTAGAGCATCAATTTGATGTTGAAAGAGAACTGTGTCTTTATAGTACTTCACTTTAACCTGAAAATCTGCTGAATTACTTGGTTTTGAGCTGAATTTCAAGCAGAGGTGGAGTTTCTGTAAAATATCAGTGTTTACTGACAAATTACTAGAATTACACAGCACAAAAGAGCGGATTGAGTAGCAGAGTGTCTTCTGTAGTGCCATCAAGGGTCATTAAGATATCTCGTTACAGGCACAGGGATGAGCTTGAGCTATATTCTACACTTAGCTGACATTGACCTGTCTGTAATTGGATTATTGCCCATTTCTGTTTTGGAAACGAGTGTTGGTCAAATACACTTCTTGCCGGCTAGGCTACGGGTAGTTAGGACATGGTCTTTGGTCACCATAGAAACCACTATGTCAGGATCAAGAGGATTCTTTATTTGCCTGCAACACTACTTAAGTGGCTGAAATAAATAAGGTAGACTGTCTTTCCCGCAGATTTATTTTCAAGAAGACATAGTTAAAGTGTGCTTGCAGTGCATTTCATTTCTGTGTCAGGCTTACATAATTTAATATACATAATGGTTACATTATTCATGGAAGACATAGTACAAGTAGCATTGCATCACCATAAGAACATCATCTTCAGTAGATGGATTTCCATTTTTCTGTTTTTTTTCTATAAATATTTTCATTTTCAATTCAGAAATTTTAACTTATGAATACATTTTAAAAATACTGTCACTGCAAGCATGTTGTTTGTTTTTTAACAGAAAAAAATACTATACTAAAATTTTTGCCTACAGAAAATTTGAAGATAGCCATTGGAGCAAATGATACCATGCCTCAAATTAATTTGGAAGATTTGAGTAATATTAAACAATTGGAAGCTTTGTTTAGAGCACAGACGTTAATGGCTTTAATTTCTGGTCATAGTTCTCCTTTTCATCAGCAGCACTGTTTGATGGCATATGCTTGTATCATCCGTATCTGGCAGGTGAGGTGAGATTCGATTCAATTAGATTAGATTCTAATATGGCCAGTGTATTTCAAGTTACCTTGTGTAATTATGGTGTCAGCTATTCATTTGATGTTTTAACTACGTCTTTAGAATTTCCAATTTTATGGTATAGTTAGTATAGTTTCTCAGGTTTAAAGATTAAGCATGAAAATTGTTTATCACAGGAAAATAGAGAAGAGACGTTAAGGATAAAAGCAGTGGCCCATAGTTTCTCTGGAGTATGTTCAAACATTTTGTGCAGAAGGTTCTAAAATTTTGTGGTTTTAATTTGTTAAAGAATCTTAGTAGTGGCAGAATACATGCTGAAGACATTGCTGACAGTTCTGAGGAACAGTATTACAGATGGACCTTCACTTAGGTTGAATCAAAAGAGCTGTCATTTGACTGAAGGGAACTGTGTGACATAGTTAAATTAAATTCAGATGTTGATTCATTTGTTATGTTATGAGAAGAAGTATAGACAGGCAGTGGTCACCAATTATTATTCTCTAATTACTTTTTCATTGTTACAGCATTTCAAATCAAACAAATCTATTTCATTTCTCATTGATATGAATGCCTAATTTAAATGGCTGTTGAGAATCATAGCAAAAATCATAGGAAAACAATTATACATTAAATATGAGTAAATCTTTGAAGGCACTAAATCTATACTTGATAATAGTAATGCCAGAAATCATTATAGAAACAATCTTAGGGCTACGGATGGGACATGTCAACTAGATTGATAAACTATAGCTTGTGCATAATTTTATTCCAATTAGCTGTAAAAGCCTGCAATTTGTTACTCCTGTGGTAATTGTGATCAAGTTTTCATTGTGAAATCAGTTTAGACTAACATTTGATGGAAGACAGGAATTTGAAAAATAAAAATCGAATATTGATATTTTCAGATTTACATAAGCATAATTTTTAATATCCTGAACTTGATTGTCTGAGCTTCTTACTAGAGAAAAAACTATCTGAAAGGAGTATTACTGTTTGAATAAACTATTGAAAATAAAAAAAATTAAGAGTTAATGCAGCTGTCAGTGTCAGCTGTAGGACAATGGAAGTAATTCTGAGAACTCATATGTACAGCTGAACAGTACTGTGAGAAAAAACAATAACCATGTGGCATTAAAGGAATGAAAGTACTACAGGACAGCTTAACCTTGTTTTGGAGTACAAAGTAAAGCAGACTTGACTGCAGTGTCCATTTCTAAAGCAGGCTCTCAAGTGTTAGGACTCCATAAATAACTCAGTAGAAGATATTAAGATGTTCTCTGAAAACCTGAATAATCCAAGGCAAATCAGCTGCTTCTGACAGTTTAAAAGACACGTTATCTTTAATTTGAAATTTTCACAAGTTGTATAGCATCCAAGATTTTTTTTTTCATATTTTGTATTCTAGTCTTGATCCCTCCAGCAAAATATATTCATCTTCTCAAATTAATGTGTTGTTTTTTATTTTAGGGAGGATCAGAAGCTGTGCTATTGCATGCACAGAGAAGTTTTCAATGGATGCTTTTATATGCTTAAATATTTAGAAATTTTTTATATATAACATTCATTAGTAGCCTTATAGAAGACTAATCCAGAAGGAGAACAGAGTGGCTCTTTGCAATCTTCCAGATTACTTTGATATGAAATTCATCCCTTGTAGAAGATAAAGCAATCTACACTAGCGGTTTAAAAAAAGAATTAAATTTGCAACTGTATAGGTTAAAAAAGTAGCAGTAGTATTTATCATAGGAATGATGTCATCTTTTGACAGTTCAGCTGCTTAATTGCATTGTAATGATCATCCTAAATGCTTGTACAAATAATGCAAGCATCTAGGAGTCTTTGAAACTTTAGTTTTCTGAAGAAAGCTCTTACGCAAAGCATAACATGGTATGTGACAGTTGTTAATAGCTGTAGGTAGTGACTTACAGTGAATAATAATTATTACTAGAAATTGACATTATTATTGAAAATTGAAAATAATTAACTGTAATTATTTTATTATCTAGGTATCATTGTCAGCATCAGGACCTATTACAAAAGTATTATCAAAGTCTTCACAACTTACAGCTCCTCAGAAGGTACAGTCAATAATTGCTCCTAAAAATGAGAAGGACAGACAGAAAAAGAAACAAGTAAGAACCCCTTTCCTGTGGAATTAAAACAGTCTTGTCTGTCTAAGAGATGTTTCTCTGGGCTCATTTGTTAAATAGTTCAGATGCTTTCCTGTAAAGCCTCTCATAACCTGTGAAGAATTTCTCTGTGAGTCTGTATATCATACCTTCACTCTTGATTGCATCGACCTGACAAGTCGTAAATTTACAGATACTTTTTTTTGTTGCATTGGTCAAAATACTGCTGTTTTGTAAAACCCACAGTCCAGAGGTCAAAAAAAGAAAAAGACAAAACTTCAAAGGATATTAAGCAGATATGGGTTTTTTTAAATGTTAGCTGAATATTTAGTACTAACAAGAATATTAATTTGGCCTCATAAAGGTCCTTATTTTTTATTATAGGTTGAAGTTTCTATTGTGAAAGAGAAACCTAAAGGGAAAGGATCAGTTGATACCTTACCAGCAAATGTGGAAGAATGGGCTTATTATGACTGTCCCAATGAAATCAGAGATACTTTTAAACAGAAAACAAATAGTTGTGGTATTAACTGGGATAATTTCCCCAAACCTGTAAGTATATTCCTCAAAACTCTAGATCATTTATTATTTAGGGAAAAAAATCAGTAACAGAGAACTATGTGGTGTTTTAGTTTTTCTGTCTGTGTGATAAAGAGTATGTTCAGACAGCTGTCAGAAATACTTCCTTGTCATAGTGTTCATTAATACTTCAAAAAGTGTGAGTCTGTTCTCTGCATTCTGAAATGAACTTAACTTACAGAATAAATTTATTGGCTTTGTGTGCACCTAGCTGCTTTTTCAGCTTGAAAGTTTGGGGGTTTGGGGTTTTTTTTGGTAAAGTTTTGAACTGACGTTGTAATCATTAATTTAAAATTTATTCTGTACAAAATGATGTTTATACTGACTGAATTAAAAAAAAATTTTTTTCAGACTTGCACTTTGTATTTTATGGACCTTTTATCTAAAGAACTACAGAAAATTTTTTGCCCCCACTTGATTCTTCCCATCTTTCAGCTAGCTGAAGTTATTGCTAATGAAGTTGTGGAATGTAGAAGTCTGTCTGATCTGTATCACCTTCGGTTTGTATCCTTCATTTATTTTAAATAGAAGAGAAACTGAATGGAGTAGACCATCCATTAATATTTCACTAAATAGTAACAAGGCTTTAAGTGACTTATTGTTTTATATTTGTAATATTTTTTATTTCTTTTCATTCCTTTTTTTATACATTTTAATAGAATTTTGATGAATTGGTTTGCTTGTGGAATTAAAGCCACTAAGTTTATCTGGTACTAAACATAATCTCCACGAGGAAAGTTGTACAAGATTATGAACTCAAGCCACTTTCATGTGAATAATTTTTGAAATGCCTTATTGTCACCTCACTGAAAAAAGCAAAGTCCAAAAAAAGTCAATAAAAGTGTTATCTTTTAAATATTCAAAAGGCAGATGCCCATCTTGCATCAAAAATATATTGTCTTTAGCTTAAGAACCCAAATAAGTATCCCAAATAAGTGCATTCTCTTTTATAGAGATTTGCCTTTGTAACCAAAATTCTGTTATTTTTATGGATGATTAGCCCTAAAAGTTTTGGTTCAAAAATATTTAATATTCACACAATGACAAATTATTGCTGCTTTAGTTAAAACATTTCATCATGCTTTTTTGAAATGTGTTGCATAATGTTTGCTTAATAATTAACAGTTATAAGCAATAATTGTTTGCTTAGTTCCCAATAGTTTGTGAAATGCCACATAATGTGTTTTTAAAATGCCTGAAACTGATCCCATGTAACAGAATAGATAAATACTCATTTCTGCAAATGTATGGTGTTTATCTGGATTGCCAACTGATTACTGAGTTACTGTCTTACCAGACTAAAAGTGATTTACTAATAGGAAATTAATTTGCAGCCAAGCCTTGCCAGGCAAATTTTTTGTTGACTCCTCAAGATTTGTTTTTATTTCATGGTATTTTATTTATATCTATGACCTGATATTTATATATGATCAGATAGGTGTACATGAATATATTACTCATTATTCAATACAGAAAAGTAGGTTAGGACATACATATGTATGGGGCTTTTTGCATGCTGTAGTGAGACCATATTATAAATATTTTTGTACTTTTACCACATCATTTTTGCCACTAAATTGGAGAGATATGGGTTTAATGGATGGACTGGGGATATCGATGGATGCCGCATCATTGGAAGTGTTCAAGGTCAGTTGGACAGGACTTTGAACAACATGCTCTAGTGGAAGATGCCCCTGCCCATGGCTGGGGGGTTGGACTGGATGATCTTCAAAATGTGCCTTCCAACCCAAACCATTCTATTATTCTATGACCTCTGTCAATGGGTAATTTCAACTACTGCATTTCCTCCTTTTTTTATTTAAAATTTTTGTTATTGCCAATATTAATCAAGACATAAGACGGTAGGATTGACAAGTGTGGAATGTATGCTTTTTATATATAATGTGTTTATATGAAGCAACATATGAAAGATTCTGATTGTTTCTTAAACAGTTTTTCTTTGTATTCTTAGAATTGCCCTGATATGTTCAGACCTAAAACTGAGTCAGGCATCTTTGTATCATGAGAAAGCTGCTGGAGAAGCATACATCAGTGAATTAGAACAAGCAATGTATGTATTTTCATTACAGAGGCTGTATTTAGTTGGGATTTTTTTCCCTACAGTTGATGTGTTGTTGGGGGGGAAAAAAAAAATTATTAAAAAACATGATCTCTTAACACAAATTTGGTGTATTAGCTGTGCCCTAAAATTCTGTGCATGATTGTCTGATCTATCCACAGAGTGAGTGTATGGTGAAGATGCTTAACACACTAACACTTCATTATGAAATACTTTTAAAATATACTTGAATTTACTTTTTCTTTCTTGTGATTTAGGTGTAGGCAAGAGATTGCACTGAAAAAAGGAAAAGAAGTACATACTAAGACAGAAGAAAGAAAAACATTTTTTGAAAATGCTCAGCTGAATCATAGAAGGGTTGAGAATATCCCTACTTCAAGTGAAAAGGTTTTCATTTCTATTCCAGTTTCTTTAATAAATTACTCTTCACTTTTTATTTTAATATACTTGTGTCGTGGTTTAACCCCAGCCAGCAACTAAGCACCATGCAGCTGCTCACTCCCTCACCCTCCCTCCCCCCAGTGTGATGGGGGAGAGAATTGGAAAAAAGAAGTAGAACTCATGGGTTGAGATAAGAACAGATTAATAGAGCAGAAAAGAAGAAACTAATAATGATGATAATAATAAAATGACAATAATAATAATAATAATAAAAGGATTGGAATATACAAGTGATGCACAATGCAATTGCTCACTACCCACTGACCGATGCCCCATTAGTTCCTGAGCAGCAATCCCCCCCAGGCCAACTCCCCCCAGTTTATATACTGAGCATGACATGACATAGTATGGAATATGCCTTTGGCCAGTTTGGGTCAGCTGTCCCGGCTGTGTCCCCTCCCACCTTCTTGTGCCCTTCCAGCCTTCTTGCTGGCTGGGCATGAGAAGCTGAAAAATCCTTGACTTTAGACTAAACACTACTTAGCAACAACTGAAAACACCAGTGTGTTATCAACATTATTCTCATACTGAACCCAAAACACAGCACTATACCAGCTACTAGGAAGACAATTAACTCTATCCCAGCCAAAAGCAGGACAACTTGCTAGTTTGTTTTTAAATAATTTTATACTTGAGAAATACATGAAGATAAAAAATCATTAAAGATGCATACTACTTAAATTATACTGGCAGGCATCAGCTGAATGTGAGCTGGGTTTGCCTGGCATGTTATTTATATTGTGGAACAACAAAAACAGAATCTGTATTTGTACAAAGTAAAACTACTTCTCTACAAATGGAATTTAGCACTAATGCAAATTGGTGGAAAAGACTGAGAAGGAAAAAAGACATTGTATTTGCTCTTGGTCTGTTTTCTCTTCTTCCTCTCTCTATTATATCACTAAATATTGTTTTGCTCCCTCTTATACATTGTTTTAAAGGCATGCAAATATTTCAGTTCTGTCTTTTCTATCTCTTCTTTAGGAAAGAATTGCCTTACTGATATTCTTAAAGCTTACCTCTACTTTCCTCTTTATTATGGCAATTCTGTCCTTGTTTTCATAATGTCATTTTACTCTCTTTGTATATTTTTCCATTTTTCTACATGTAAAATATATTTTTTCTAATTACTAATCCCTCTCAAGTCACCTCTTTTAGCTCTTGCAAATAGTTTTTCTCTTTGATTGTTTTAGTCATTACCAAGAATCCACTTATTCACGACAGTGGCAGATCTGAAGTAGTTAATCTGTTCTAAAATTAATTTTAATAGTATATACTTATGAGTTGAATGCCTTTTGAGCATTATAAAATCCAAATCTCACAGTGAACCTGTTTTTCCTGTAGTATAACGCTGAATTTTGAAGTTAGAAAATAGAGCTGGAATGTGGCATGTATCAAGAATTGAATATGATAGTTAATAACAATTTTTATTCTATCTAGTTTAGTTTTGAAATTTATGAAAGTGTATATTTTGTTATTTTTCAGGTTTTTGAGTTAAATGCAGTAACAGGAAAAGGACTGAGTGCACTTTCTTTCCCTTATTTGTGGATAGAAAAAGCTGAAGTACTAATTCAGCTAGGCTTGTACCAACCAGCAAGAATTCTCCTTTCAGAGGCTCATGCTGCAACTCAGGTACATCAGAAATAAAACAGAAAAAGAAACATGAATAAAATGTGTAGGAAAAATGTTCATTTTGATGCAGTTGTTTCTCATAATAGTAATCAAATTGCAAAACCACACCTTCCCCCCGCCCTGCCCCAAACCTATGTCATTTGAGGTTCAACACCTATAAGGCATACATTTAAAAATATGGCATGTGAGTCCAACTTTATGGGAATTGTCTGAAGATTGTTTCAACTTGTGAAGTAATGTCAGCATCTCTGTCTGCTTTGCAGTGACCTTGGAAGATGTACGTATATCCAAATCTTGTTTGTTAAAATAGTTTAGGGACATTCAAGATTTGCTCATAAGAGAGAGAGCATTTAGCTCCATCCTTTCAACATTTTGATCATTTGAAAGTCTACTTACATAATTTTGAATTTCATTATGGTTTTAGTGCTAACTGTGTTTTGATAAACAGCTACTGACACTGAAATTATGATTTAGAATTCTGGCAGATCTGAAATAAGCATCCATATGTTCTATCAAACAAATTCACATCGTCACATTATTATGAAGAGTTTACATTAAAGATACTCTTCCTATATCTACCATTCTCCATTATAGCTCTCTTCTTGGTTATACGGGTTACTGAAACATAATTATTGCAATAAATCCTTTACTTTTAAAAAAAAGTAATTGTTATCCTGTTATTCCACATAATAATTTTTCTTATGTAAGTAAAAACTGCCTATGTATGTATAGCATGAATCATTAATACTCTTAATAATAATATATGAATAATATATTTATTAATAATATATGTCTCTTATTAAAGCATGAATTTAGTATTGTACATAGAGAAAAGTTCAAAAGACATTAGGGACAACGATAATTTTAATGATATAACTTCTTACTAGTATCCTGTATGTCTGCATGCTAGTATACTATCTATACTGTATACTATATTTGTCTGTTGTATACTGCTAGTGTATAGTTTATAACTAGCATCTAGTAGCATTGTAAATTTACTGGCGCTCTAGTGTGTCTAGTTCCCAGTTCACTAAAAAATTTTTCATCATCACATTTCTTCATCAGATACTGACAAATGATAGCAGATATATACATACTAAATAATAGCAGAAAAATAGCTTATTTGACTTGTGGGGTATAAGATATGGGAATATAAAGAAATATAAAGTATATTTGAAGATTTGAAGTTCTTGATATGAAGTAGACACTTTATGGTTTTGGAAAAAACAAAGTAGTATAAGGAGTGACTAAGAAATTCTACAAATAATTAGGGAAGTACCATTTGCTTCTTATTTCTGTGCCTATTCATAAGTTTAATCTAAAATATGAATAGAAATAAACATGAAGAGGAGTAGTGGATCTTTTGTATATAGGTCACATATCTCTCTTTCTAGGAATTGAGGGCCCTGTATGATGTGTCAAGGTGCTTGTACTTATTTGCTGTATTGGCTAACCTGGAAAGAAACCATGGACAAGCTAAAGCATTCCTTGAGAAAGCACAGCTTCTAGGAGGAAATGAACAGTTTTGGTACAACAGTACTCTTAGTCTAATAGATGCAATCCTAGAGGAAGAGGGGGAAGGAAAATGGAGCATGGTAAGGAAGTTTTTTGGTTTTGGTGGTTGGTTTTTTTTGCAGAAGTGGTGCCTCTCAGTGAAGAGAATTGTTACAGCCTTTGCATTTCAATAAAAGCAAAAATAGATGTTAAATTCAGTTGGATGTTGTTTTCTCTGTTGTGCATTCAACAAACATTAATTACAGATTCCAAACAGATGCAGGCCAGTAGGAATGAGATTTTACCCACAGAAGTTTAGGATGTTTTTATGATAAACTGTATATCCTTCTATTGAAATAAGAGCAATTGTAATCTAGTACGTGTAGCTAAATCCCAGAGATCTGATTCTCTTGGTTAGAATGCGTTTGTACTCGGACAATTCTGACTTTCATGTGTTCATTATCCGTATTTAATAAAGATTATAACTTCCAATATTATTTCCTAGTATGCACTTCCTTTTCAAATATTTCATATAGTTTTACAAATATTATTTCTAGATTATTGAAAGATCCTGCTGTGAGTATAATATATATATTTATTAAAAAAATTTTCCTATTTGACCCTTAACATTAAAATATCCATTTACTGTTCAACTCTTAACTTTCATGAGTTTCAGCATAAATATAATCTTGTTGTGTCTGTGATGATCTGTCCTTTATTGATAATGTATACGAGTGTTTTGTACAGAGGGATTATTTTGATTTGGGCTGAACTCACTTTTACAATCATTGAAGGACAAAATACCTGGTTACCAGTGAGAGTATTTACTAAGGTTTTACCAGTATAGCTATTAATGGAATGTAGCTTGCAAAATTTTTGCAAATTTGTAGCAGCAAAATTTTTTAATAAGGACAAATCTGTAGATGAGGTTTTGAGCATCATTTAAGGGCTTTTTCATTCAAAACTATTAGTTGGAGACTTCTTTTACGTACCCAGCTGGCAAAACTGTAATAGTGTAACGTTTACTTGTTAATTAATATGCTAGTCAGTGTAAGTAAGGATGCAGGAATCTGTCCCGAAGAGGATGCCTGTGAAATATAGAATCAAATGACTATTTAGGTTAGAGGTCATCTGGTCTAACCCCAGGCAAAGCAGGGGAAATTTTGAAGTGAAATCTGACCTTATTGTTGAATCAAATTGCTCTGGGCCATATATGGCCACTTTTCAAATGCTTCCAGAATGCAGATTCCACAACCTTTCTGGGCCTTTGTTATCTGCACAACACCCCCCCCCCCCCCCCCCCCCCCCAAAAGAGAAGTTATTATGAAAGTGGCCAAACACTGGAACATCTGTTTAGAATTCCCCGTTTTTCGAGGTTGGGTCTGTTGCCCCTCATTCGTTTGCTGTGTATCTCTAAGATGAGTCTGGCTCCAACTTCTCTCCTTGTGTGTATGTGCTCCATTGACTTATCAAATCAAAATATCTAAATATGATCATAACTCATGCTTTCTAGACTTACATACAGTTGTCAAGAATCAGTCATCTTGGGGGCTATTAGGGAAAGATATTTAACATGTTCTGCACAAAATTTAAGCTTTCTAAATGAATGTTTAATGTTATACACAGACATTTAAAATAGAATGAAATTTCTGATGTTACCTGCAGGCTTGTGAGATACTGGAACACACTGTAAATGTGCTCAGATCTACTTTACTGAAGAGACCTAACAGACAGTCAGAGTTGGGCTTTATAATTGCATCCCTTGAAGCCAGGTAACTGTCTTTTCATTAAAATATGCCCAGGCTCTACTATGCAGCTACATTGCAAATATATGGTGATTTTTACCATTCATCTTTTTTTTTAGTATGGTGCATTGTGTGGATGCTCAAATATTTTTCTTCTAAGTAGTTTATGTTTATTCTTTTTTTTTTAAATTTAAATTTCCTTTCCAATTTCTTCATTCTTGTATGTAGCCCTACTACCTGTTAAGTTAGTAAGCTTGTAAGCTATTGTGCATAGTTTGTGGTGTAGGTTGCCCAAAGGATCAAGATTTGCCTATGCAGTGATATCTGAGCACAGATATTAACACAACACTGTTGTAGTCTGCAGTACTGACCTACTTCTCTCCTCACCATGATCCAAGAAGTCTTTTTATGGTGAAACTAAATAATGATTCTGGTTACATTCAAATCTAAGCACAGAGCTTAAAATGTGTTGGTAAAAGGAGAGAAGTATATAACATTTATACTTTCTTCTCTTTCCAGAAATGTGAAACTTTTGGATCAGAAAGGGAAGACTAATAGTCTTCTAAGTTCAGCTATATTTACAAGACTGAGTAGGCCTAAGCAGTTTGAATAATTAGATACGTGCAACAAGTGACACCTCAATTCTAATCTGAAAACACAATATTTTGATTTTTTTTCAGGACCTACTATAATTAGTAGACACAGATTTAAAGAATGAAGTGGCTTTTTCTAGATTTCTTATAATTTAAAGGAGAGCAGAGAGAAATAGGTCAGTTTTCAAACACAGCCTGTACTTTCTGACTGCTATCTTGTACTTAATTTTTATCTCTAGGAGAACACTTATTCAGATACATTTTACCCAAGATTGTATGACAATTAACGCTGAGTCTTGTCAGTTGCCACATATGCTACAGGAATCTTACAATAAATTAGTTCAAATTGAGAAGGACTTCTTTCATTATGGGCATAAAAACTGCAGTGCTGAGATACTGCTAGAATGTGCAAATATTCACAGGTAAGATTATACATCTGATGAAAAATTTTATGTATGTTTAACTAGACTATGAAGTGTACTGCTTACATTTCTATAGTCTAATTAAAGATGGAAAAGAGCAGATAATATTGTCAGGTTTTATATCTTGGTGCTACACATCTATTTGCATTCTTGATGTGTTCTGTATTCAGAAAGATACAGTAGAATGAAAAATTCTTTTCACTGAAAGCAGAGTTAATCTTACATGGTACTACTGATTTTTGTACTGGTTTTGAGGTCAAAACAAAGTATCAAGGTCTCCAAGTCAGCTTTTTGTCTTCCCATTTGTAAAGGCATTTTGGCAGCCGTGCCAGTCATTCTCAAGTATTTATAGGCTTTTACAATTCTTTCTGTTGAAATGGTTCTCTAGAAATTGCTGTAATAACAAAAGGGTAACACAGTATGCCTTGACTCCCAGCTGTTTCCAAGGCGTCCCTGTAAAACAACTGAGGTATGTTTTGTACCTGGCTATTCTGCCATTTTGTTCCTGGTGAATACATACTCTAGAATATTATCTGCCTTTCTTCTTTTTGTGTCTTGGCATCTTCTTGCACTGCAGCAGTACAGTTCCAAGAATAAGACCTTGAAAAAAATAATGTGTGAAAATTCACTTTTCCTATTTGAACATTTAGAAAACACATGTACAAAATTAATCTATCAATTAATCTAGTTAATCTATGAACCTAATTTATTAATCTAATTATTTTATTATATATGTTCAATAATGTTGATACCATAAAAATAAACACTTTCTTACATTAGTTCCTTTGGTTTTTATGTTGGTTTTTTTCAGGATGATTGCCAAGCAGGAAAGAAATAAGGAAGAAAAACGTAGTCACTATCTGAATGCTTATAACTTAGCTCAGAGAGCAGTATCCAAAACAGAGGAAGTGTTTCATAATGTTTGTAGCTTATTTGCAGTTAATGAGGTATGGAGATATATATATTTTTTTTCTATTCATGGAAAAGAAATCTGATTTAGTTGTACTATTCACTCATTCTTGCGTGATTCCTGGAAGCCCCAAATGAGATTATCTTCCTGTAATGATAGGCATTGTTTGAATATAGAAGGAAACATGGCATGTCAAAAGAATTTACAGTCTAAAAAGGAAAGAAAAGAAGCAGAAATAAGAGGATTTGTGTGGTCTCTGTCAATTTTATTTAATTCTAAAATTTATCTAATAGCTACAAAAGAAAAAGTCTAAATGTGGGGATATTTTTTATTCTCTAAATATCTCACAGGTTTAAAATTCTCCACATTAAAGTGTTTATTTCTCAGAAGAAAAAAAAAAAGTTACACAGAACATTATAGAATCATAGAATGGTTTGGGTTAGAAGGGAACTTAAAGATCATCTAGTTCAAACCCCCCTGCCATGGGCAGGGACACCTTCCACTAGCCAGGTTGCCCAAAGCCCCATCCAACCTAGCCTTGAACACTTCCAATGATGGGGCATCCACAACCTCTCTGGGCAACCTGCTCCAGTGCCTCACCACCCTCACAGTGAAGAACTTCTTCCTTATAATCTAATCTAAATCTATCCTCTTTCAGTTTAAAGCCATTACCCCTTGTCCTATCACTACATGTTCCTTGTAAAAAGTCCCTCCCAAGCTTTCCTGTAGGTCCCCTTTAAGTACTGGCAGGCTGCTATAAGGTCTCCCTGGAGCCTTTTCTTCTCCAGGCTGAACAGCCCCAACTCTCTCAGCCTGACTTCATGGGAGAGGTGCTCCAGCCCTCTGATCATCTTGGTGGCCCTCCTCTGGACTCGCTCCAACAGGTCCATGTCCTTCTTACGTTGGGGGCCCAGAGCTGAACGCAGTACTGCAGGTGGGGTCTCACCAGAGCGGAGCAGAGGGGGAGAATCACCTCCCTCCACCTGCTGGTCACGCTTCTTTGGATGCAGCCCAGAGTACGGTTGGCTTTCTGGGCTGCAAACGCACATTGCCGGGTCATGCTGAGCTTCTTGTCAACCAACACCCCCAAGTCTTTATCCACAGAGCTGCTCTCAATCCATTCTCTGCCCAGCCTGTATTTGTGCTTGGGATTGGCCCAACTCAGGTGCAGGACCTTGCACTTGGCCTTGTTGAACCTCATAAGGTTCACACAGGCCCACCTCTCAAGCCTGTCAAGGTCCCTCTGGATGGCATCCCTTTCCTGCAGCGTGTCGACCGCTTGGCATCATCGGCAAACTTGCTGAGGGTGCACTCAATCCCACTGTTCATGTTGCTGCCAAAGATGTTAAAACACCACCAGTCCCAATACTGACCCTATATAAATAAAGCAAGCCTGTCTTCAAAATAGTGTATTTTGGGTAATGAAAGCCTGCAGCCTACTTTGCTGGTGTGTACCATTATTATACTCTAGCATCCAGCTTTTTTTTCTGCTTTGCCTTTTTTAAAGAGCAAGTATTTTTGTGCAGCTACCAAAACCATTAATATTAAAATTCTGGTTCTATGTACACATTTGCAACTCCTTTGGAATTAGATATTTGTAACAGGTACATAAAACATGAAGAGCAAAAACCCAACTGCTCTTTTTCTATGCAGCTGCTTTGATTGCTTTTTAATATATTTGACATTGAAGTTTTTCTTTTAAGTTACTGAAATATCTTCATAGCAGTATCTCTGATCTATTGAGGTGATATTGTGAAAATGTTTGCTTTTTAGTTAAAAGAAGTACAACATTCTATCTTTTTATCACTAAATTTGCAAAAATATTCAAAATTAGAATTCTACTTTCTTTTGTATTTCAGACTACAAATATTAGTATCCCATTAATGAGGCAACTAGCTAATAGGAAAATAAATCTTGTAGAAATTCTTTTGGATATTTTTCATCTTGTTATAACTGAGAAAAAACTTAAAGAAGTGGGAGAAGCATCGTCTCATGAAATTGTGAAGGCATTCATCAGGGGAACTATTGAAGATGGTGCAACAGAACAGGTAGTACAAAATATTTAGTCCTATGATTTGCATATAAAAGGTATAACAAAGTTTCACAGGGATGTCTTCCATAGCAGGACTTCTTCCACTACTGAGGAAACAGGTCCCCAGACTATTCACGTAGTTTCGCAGCAAAGAAAATTCCAGTGTGTGTTTTTTGTCTTGGGGATGGTTTATTGGGTTGTTTTGTTTTGTTTTGTTTTCTCAGAAAGATGTTGTTTCTTAAATGCAGAGACATAAAACCCACTAAGACTAGCAAGGAAATGACTTAAGGCTTTGTAATTGATGGCAGGGGAGGCATGGTTTGCATTATTGTCTCTTCTTTTTAAAACAGTTGGTTTTAAGCAGGACCGCCTAACTGAGCTGATGAATAAGAACATAAGACATGCCCCACTGGAACAGAGCAGTAATTCTTGCCTGTTATTCTGTCTCTGACAATGACAATAGGAGATGCTGTTACAGGAAAGCATAGTAGCCTCACCATTCTCTGCAGTACTCTCCCCTTATCCCATGTTTTCCTCAGGACTGATTGTTGTTTGCTTATGGACGTTACAGTGTACTTTTTTTAAATCAATTGTTAATGAATTTGTATATCTATTAAAGACAGCTAGTTCATAGTTGAAAGTGTAATCACATTTAACAAATGTGTTTGTATGTAAATATATATGTGTTACATTTTTTTAAAGAAGTATATTTCTGTATGTGTGGGTATATATGAGCAAATAAACATAAATATGTATTTTACCAGGATTGGAAGCATATGGAATGCACTGTGGGTCATATTACACTGGCTCAGTTAGCAAACATACAGAATCTTTGTAAAGGCTGTCCTGACATCAAATCCAAATACCTATATCTCACTGGAAAAACTCTTCATTTACTTGCCATTAATATAGATCCTGTACATTCAGAGATTTACTGGAAGCCAAATGTTATGGTATGCATTCTTTTCTCCATTTAAATTCATTCTTGTGTGTAAAGTTTGTCTGCCACAATACTTTTTCTGTATATACTTGTATACTACTACTCTTTATTTAGAGCTAGGTTTTACATATTGCATGCAAGCCATAATAGAAATGAATATACTAAACTAAGTAATTTCATAAAAATGCTTCTGCCTACATGCCATCCTCATGTAGATAATTTTTTAATTCATTCCTGAGATATGCTAATTACAATATTTTCGAAAGAGAAGTAAAAAAATTCCTTGAATGCCTTAAAGGTCTAGGTAGGCTGGTCTCCAAATCCATGCAAACAAGAAGTAGATTAAAAGTTCAGATTTGTAAGTTCCTTTTGTGTTGTAGTAAGAACACCATGTAAGAAAAGGAAAGTTGATTGAGTTATTATAAATTCAGTGATGAATTGAAGTGTTCAGAAGAAATTTAACTGAGGACAAATATCAGAAAATAAAAAACTTAGAGGTTATATGGGGGGCCTTTTTAGTTTCTATTAGTCATATTGTCATCATAACATATTAAGAATTTTTTATGCCTGATGATATTGCTAAATCTTTCACTATCAAGGGATTCATATAGTGAGATGATTTAAGATGAGTTCCATTTTCACCTAGACTTTCACAAAAGAAATGAAGCCAGCCATGCTTAATGGAATGATTAATTATTCTTTTCTTATACTGTGATGAGTAGGAAGAAGCTAAATCAGACATCGCAAAAACTTCCCTGACTTCAGCAGAATGCAGTGAACAGGAAGTGAGAGACAGCAGTTTACGGACTAATAAATGTCAATATGATAAGTATAGGAGGAAAATACAGGCATTAAAGGTATATTAGTGTATGTGCTTGCATTAGAATTTGAGTGCTTCCTTTTTATGGAATAATAGCCACCTTACCTTATCAGTTCTGTTTGAACTGATAATGGAAATGTCTGTAACATAAATTTGATCTTACAAAAGAAAAAAAATCTCCAAAGCACTCCCCCAAAAACTGCTTTCCATCGCTACCCTGCTGTCCAGTTCTGTCCTGCCCCTCAAAACATGCTGTGGGAGCTCCTGATGGAGCATTCCCAGTTGCTCCCAGGAAGAAATAATTTCTCCTTCAGTGGTTTGCCGCTGATTGAGCATGTAGCAGCCAGGACAAGAAGAACAGGCAGCTTTCTCTCTGCTTCACAGATGTGCCTTTCTAAGGGAGCATAACATTTTGCAGGCTGGGAACAAAGAAAGAAATAACTTCTATCAAAAAACACTTGTAAAATTCTTACAAAATTTAAGTTGTTTTGTATGGTGAGCTGATCTCTGTTAACTACTGCAGTTCAAAGCACACTAGGAATGTACAGTTTGTGTTGCTAGTATAAACAGTAAATACTTGAGATAAGAGATTTGTGGGTGTATTTGTATTAAATCTAGTTAACTGTCAGTGGAAACAATGGTACAGAGAACTGACAGAAAACTCCTTTGTTCTGAGCAGCTCATATTGCCTGGAATTTAAATACTGTTCTGCTAAGTACATGTTTTATATTAAAGTATCTTATTAAAAAATTTTTTAATGTTGTATAACAGATGTTGGTGTCTGCTAAATAATTAATCTGTGCCTATTTTGATCACACATTAAGTGAATGCCTTAAAAAGGAGAAAAAGCATTGAAATTAGTAATGAAAAAGTAATACTGATCTTTTCTAACACTAGTAATCTGTATACATATATCAAATATTTAATATTAATGCATATTTTAATATAAACCTTTTTATTTTTATAATCTAGAAGGAACATAGGTTGACTCAGAAATATCTTTCTCAGTCCAGTGAAGCTTTGCTACAGTGTATGGGTATTGCATTCAGTCATAATATTACTGATGTACTGGCTCCTGCTAGTTTTGAAATGGTCGAATGCTTTCAACAATTTGATCCAGTTTCAACTAGCCAGTTTTTGGCACTTCATCAGGTAATGTATTGTGCTTCTTTCCAGTATAAAAAGGGTGGTTTAAGTTACATAAGCAAAAATGTCTATTGGTCATACAGAACACAATATATGGATGCATATAAGAACTAGCGTGTAATACAGGTAGTCAAATATATGATATGTTTGCTGAGTTCAAAATGTTTGATCAGTGGCTTTTTAATGATTCTATTATCTATTGTGTTTGACTTGATGTTTTCATTGATGATTGCATACATGAAAATATTTTAATATGAATAAATTACTATGTGATTAGCTAAGATAAGACATTACCAGAAAATACAGTTTCATCCTTCCCTAACAAATAATTTAAATAAATGTTTCTCTAGATTTATTCATTCATTATTTTCAAGTAGATAGGAAAGGTTTACATTCAGTTTGTCAAATCAACACCTATACAGCGTGGTCCCATAGATGGCTCAAAGGTGTATGAATCACTCATATGAGTATTTGCCTTCATCACAGAGAAGATAAGGTATGGCTGTAAGGCTTATATTCCCTACACCAGGAACAAATAATACATACTTTGTACACCATCATCTCCATTGTAGAAATACATAAATGTACCTTATAGTAATTTCCTTCCTGCCACATCAAGGCAACAGCAGGAAATTATGACAGACAGTAAGCACCTGCCTGCATGTCAACACTTAGATTTGCAAATACCTCCACCCATGGATGGAATGGACTAGGTAGGTCTTTTGATAAATCAGAAAACAGCTAATATGGGGTTTTGTGGCTCAGTCCTTTATTGCTGTACTCCTGCAGCACACCATATTATTTATGGTTTGCTGTCATACTTGTTAGTGAACAAGCAACGTAGAATGCATATCAAGGTACAAAAACCATGAGTAGTCATGTCTTTTACTGGGAAAAAAATTCTGCTGATTCAGTTACTGTGCTGCCCAGAAAGGTTTCTATTTAAAAAAACAAAAAAGTTTAAAATGTCACTCCTTGTCAATATTAAGCCTCCCTTTGGAATTTTTGATTATGTCAACCCAAATTGCATTTTTTTTAATGTGAGAGCTGCATTAAAAGAAAATAAATGCTTTAGCTCTTAGCAAGCATTGTTTTAAAGAACAGAATTGGTATGTTTGCTGAAAAAAAAGGATATAAAATCTTACCCTTTATATTGTTCTTTGTAGGAAGTCTGTTAAAATGTGTGATATGATGGCTGTACAGTAAAAGGCACACAAACACAGAGAAGACTCAGCTTACTTGAAAGGCTAAGTTCAGAACACAGACATTTACCTTTCCATGTAGACCTTAGATGACTAAATGCAGGAACATAGATGATAAATGTAGACAAAGAAGTCAATTCTAGCTCTTCATATTTAAGAAATCTTCATAAGTTATTGCTAGACTGTTTACATTAGACTGTAAACACAAATAGCAGACAGGCATTTGCTAACCCATATCACCTTTCAGGCAAGAGACTTTAACATATATATATGTTTTAACAAACATAGAATGTATATGTATTTATATTATTTTGGGGAGGGGAAATAAATAGATATAAAAATTTTACAGAGCTGTTCAGCGTCTATGATAATGAAGAGTATCCTTCTAGCAGCTACATCTAACACCAGCAGCTCTCAGCTGGCAGCATTACTGCATCTTCAGAATCATTTAAAACAAAACAGAAACACAAGTGATCTTCTAAAAAATGTGGAACAGCAACTGACTGCTACTTCAATGGTAACTTTTTGAGATGTGCTACTTATTAGTGGTTTATATGTATGTTATATAAATACACACAGAGACACATATATACACACACACACACAGATATATATCATTTCAGTTATTCCTGGAATTAAATAATATTTCATCTGTTTTCTTTAAACTCTATTCAACTTTTTTTTCTTAATTTGAGTCATAGATTGACTTGGTCATTAATCAAAATACATTTTTATTAGTATGGTATGTACTGTCCTGTGGTTTTGTTTATGCTAGGTTATCTGTGTGGCATGAGCTATGTGATTTAAGTCAGAAGTGAGATTTTAAGGATACAATTCCAGTTTGTCTTATAGTTACAATTTGGTATAGCTGGATGTCAGAGTTGTGCTATCTGCACACTTAAATCATTAATTCCATGCGAATCTCGCCCAATCCAGCCGAAGATGCCATTGTAAAGGACTTTTGCAACAGAGACTCCTGTCACTGTCTGGACAGCATCCAGTCATCCTGTTTGAGATACTCAAGTCCCCATGCAGGTGTTACCCTATGAAAAGAGCCTGGGGTTTTGGGGGGTTTGGTTTTGTTTTGTTGTTTGGGTTTCTTTTTAACAAACACTCTATCCATGGGTGTCAGCAAAACTGTGATGTTGCAAACTGGATATTTAAAGAAACCAACCAGAAAACTGTAATTCATAGTTCTGGAGCACATAATGGACAAACTTTTCTGGGAGATAAATACTCTGTCTTTCAGTCTAAGCTGGCTGAGAACTCCTTATTTTTCAAATGTCTGAGGTCTAAAAGTGAATACCAAAACTAAGATTGGAAGACCCTAGGTTATAAATGAATGAAATTAAAAACTGCCAGCAAGTTACATACAAAGGATTAGCTGTAGCTGGCAGGGTTTAAGCATTTAGAAAATGTGGCAAGCAGAGATACAGTACAGGATAAGAAAAATACGTGTTTGTAGGCTACTGTTTTGACTTTTTTCTGCATGGGCTGTATTATCTTATTTAGCAGAAGAAACAGGATAATATTTTGTTTAGAAGCCACTGTCTTTGAGTTGCTGTAATTATCTAACTGGTAATGGTTATCCTAGCTGAAAACATTCATCAACGCCCACCATGACTGCACCTGTCACAGTAGCTCAGGAAAGAAAAGGTGGCAATCAAGACATCTGTTCATGGCTGCATTCTTGAACTGCATGATTCCAGGCAGCTTGAGATGCAAGAAATCAAAGTGGTCACTGAAGTAGTTCCCTCTGAGGGTATATTAGTGTTTTTTAAAACTCAGTTGAGATTTTTAGTTCAGATCAGGAATGCACTTTCAAAGTGAATCTCCCAGTTGTCCTTGCTCACGGTGCTTTGATTTGCATTGTGGTACAATGACTGTATGAGCAGTGTTCCTCTCAGACAAAAACCAAACTGGATTCTCTGATGCACTCAAGCCACATCGAGTGGGCATTCAGTCCAGGGGCCAGTCCAGAGGTGCTCTGAAGTGAAAATCAGTGAAAGTGTACAGTGTATAATTCTGCTCCTGATGAGCTGTACCACTTCATAATGTAGGTAGACCCAGAGTGTACCCCGTGTGCTTAAGCACATAAAACTTCAATCTGAAAAACACATAAACACACATGCTTAAAGACAGCATTCTAAAAAAACATTTGTGGTCCTTTCTGTATTAGGACCAGTTTTTCATCTGGAGCCAGACTATTTAGGAGGTTTTGGGTTGGTGTTGGTTTTATTTTCTCAAAAAGGATTGTATATTCTTTAGTACAATATTTTTGTGGTGTGTTGACCTTGGCTGGTTGCCAGGTGCCACCAAGCTGCTCTGTCACTCCCCCTCCTCAACAGGACAGGGGGAGAAAATACAATGAAAAGCTCATGGGTCAAGATAAGGACAGGGCTATCAGTCACCCCTTACTGTCACAGGCAAAACAGACTCAACTTGGGGAAACTGATTTATTGCCAGTTAATAACAGAGTAGGATACCGAAAAATAAAAACAAAACTAAAAAAGATCTACACCCCTCCCCCCCCGCCTTCTTCCCAGGCTCAGCTTCATTCATGATTCTTCTACCTCCTCCCCTGGCCACCCAAGCAGCACAGGGGAAATGGGAAATGGGGGTTGTGTAGGGTGCATCCCATGGAGACAGTTCTCCACGAACTTCTCCAACATGGGTCCTTCCCACTGGCTGCAGTCCTTCACAAACTGCTCCAGTGTGGGTCCCCACGGGGTCACAAGTCCTCCCAGCAAACCTGCTCCAGTCTGGGCTCCTCTCTCCACAGGGCCACAGGTCCTGCCAGGAGCCTGCTCCAGCGTGGGCTTCCCACGGGGTCACAGCCTCCTTTGGGCACCCACCTGCTCCAGCGTGGGGTCCTCCCCAGGCTGCAAGTGGATATCTGCTTCACCATGGACATCCATGAGCTGCAGGGGGACAGCCTGCCTCACCATGGTCTTCCCCACGGGCTGCAGGGGAATCTCTGCTCCGGCGCCTGGAGCACCTCCTCCCCCTCCTTCTTCACCAGCCTTGGGGGCTGCAAGGTTGTTTCCCTCCCATATTCTCACTCCTCTCTTCCAGCTGCTGTGCAGTGTTTTTACCCTTTCTTAAATATGTCATCACAGAGGTGCCACCAGCATTGCTGATGGGCTCAGCTTTGGCCAGTGTTGGGTCTGTCTTGAAGCCAGCTGAAACTGTCTCTGTCCAACATGGGGATAGTTCCTCATGTCTTCTCACAAAAGCCATGCCTGCAGCTCCCCCTGCTACCAAAACCTTGCCATGTAAACCCAATACAATTTTACATGGTTCCTTTTGGTGAGGTGTCTATTCTTAACAAAATAATGAAGGACTTTTGCAAACATAAATGTTACAATGAATTATTCTGCTCCCTTCCTTTGCTAGTATTCTGCTAGTATTTGATAGCATTTTAACTTCACAGACAGTGTAGTGGCCAAAAAAGTCGTGTTGTTATGAAAAGTGGAATAAGTTACAGTATTTGTAATTTGTTTTAAATAATGTTTATAAGTTCTTATGCACTGCACAAAAGTCACACAATCACAGAATGGTTGAGGTTAGAAAAGACCTCTGAAGGTCATCTTGTCCAGCCTACCTGCTCAGAGCCAGTTGCCCAGGATTCCTCCAAGGATGGAAACTCCACAGTGTCCCTGGACAACCTGTGCCAGTGCTCAGTCATCCTCACAGTGAAAAAGTGTTTCCTGTTGCTTGGATGGAGCCTCCTGTCCTGGTACATCTGCTGAGCATTTCCTTTGACTTTTTTTTTTTTTTTTTTTTAATACTAACACCTCCTTTCCTAGAATTACTATCAATTTTCTGATGAAAGAACTGAGATTGGAATTTTTTAAAATCTATGAAAATAATGCTACTTTTGAATTATTGTACAGGCATGGAGAAATCTCTGTATTCCTGTTGAACATTTTAATATAATGGATGAATTGCCATCTAATTTCTACATAATTATTCTTCAGCATTCAGAAGACAGGTATAAAATTTCATCATTTTGCTTTAGTATTCTGTTTGTTACAAATGTCATCTTTTTTTACTTGTAAATAATCACTATTTTGATTGTTTATTGCCTTTTAATTCTAATTTTGCTGGACTTGAATTTTAGGATAGTGAACAAATTAATATATAAATAAAACTGCCTGCAGCTCAAAGCTGTACGTTTTTCTGATTTCACTAATTATCTCTTAAATCTCCAGAGGTCACCTGAAAGGTTTCAGGTCATTCTTGGTATCCTCCTAAATTCTGTTAATAGCTTCCAGCTCTTATTGCTTATGCTCTTGAAAATGTTAGGAGGGGTCATATTTAGCTTTATAAAGCCACAAATGATCTCATTACTGCAGCCTAATTAGTGACTACTCATAAACTGAGTAGCAACTGACTGAGTTCCTTCACCAATTGTGAAAATTCTTAAACAATTGTCGTGGAACAAATGAAAATCTACCTTACCGGATATATAGCAATGAAAGAACTTTCCTTACAGCTCTCAGTTTGTTCCAGTTATTTTGCAGGTTTTTGCACCACAAGGTGAGGATATATATTGCATCTTGAGAGTATTTGTGAGCACATTAAATTAGAGGGTAATAATTACTCATCTAATAAATTTACTTCATATAAACAAGGCTGAGCAGTCAAATAATCTACTCAGCAGTTTTCTGCTTTCCATAGATCAAATTTGTACAGTTCATTGATTGAGATGCCAAAAGTAAGTACTGCGCAGCAAAAAGGAAAACCCACTCAACCAAAGGGTAAGTGCTTCTTACATTTAAGAGATAAAAATCATTGCACTGATGTTATGAGAAGGCTCATATCTTTCACTGTTGCAGTCAGTAAAATTTTTAAATAATTTTAAAAAAATAGTAACTCTTACTAATACCAGAGGAAAGTAAATGCCTAAATACATGTGTTTCATTATCAGATATAGTGTACCTAGTCATAGTTTACAGAATTTTTGTTTATATTTGAAGGCTAAAGTTGTTATAGGTAAATAATTGTAGAGATTTTTTCATTGTATATTTCTGTATGTATTTTGTACTAAACATATATATAAACAGTTTCATTTTCAAAAAAATGCCGTGGCTTTAGAAACTGATGGTCTCTATACAATTGTTTCTTCAAGTACAAATGTGAAGTCTCAAAAAGAGTCTTAAGATGGTGTTATCCTCCTTTTAATAGTGCAAGCTAAAGTTTCTCGATTTCCTGTGAATCCTGATACATTTTGTATTTTGTTGGAAAAAGTGCGTCTTTACAAGCAGCAAAAGATGAAGAGTCATCTTAAACAGACTGTCATTCAAAACTTGCAAGAATGTGTCTCCCAAACAGATACGGTAATATATTTGATTACCTTATATTTAAAATAGGGTGAAAAACATGTACTAAAAACTATCTTAAACACTCTTTATGCAGAATTTTCAGTTTATTCCAAGTGTAACATCCCTAGTCTTCACAGTTGCTAAATGCTGTGTACTCTGCTTCAAAATTTAATTTTACTGTGTTATTCTGTTACTGTTCTGAATGTCATTCAGCAGCTTTGAAATGTCCAGTAGTTTATCAGAACTGAAAATTGATGCAATTGAGATCAACTTATGTGAAAATGTGCTGTACCTGTAAGACTTGCATTTGCAAATTTAAATTGCCTTTCATATCACATGAAAGCCCCAGCTGTCCCAAGAAAAAAATGGGAACACAGATCTAAACCCTTTAATCAAAATAAAACTATCTTAGCCAAAGATTTATTACTGACTTTCAACACAGGAAAGTTTCTTTCTAGAGCACACAGTATCTTTTGCACTATAACTGTTTATTTGGACACAGTTGATCCAAGTCTGTTAGTCACAAAATTTTGATTCAAGGACACATCTCATTGGAATTCCAAGTTCGTAGCTATGAACACTCTTAAATTCTAGATGATAAAAGTTTTCTGTTACTGCAAGAAGGCTCAGTTCTGTAAGGACATTGTTTTTCACAATCAGTGAACACAAATTGTGCATCATAAAGGTACACTGGATAAGCCTGCAATTTTTGCTTTTACATAAGCTTTTAAGCTGCATGGTTGCAGAAAATTTTCTACACATGTAATGTGCACGTCTACATCCTAGCATTCTAATTTACTTTAATTTTGGCTCCATTATATAAAATTTAGGTTTTTCAGTATCAGTCAAAATTCACTGTTAAATACAGCATATTAACAAAAACTGGTATAGACCTATTTCTATCATTAATATAAAGGTAAAAAATATAGATCATATTGAATTTCCTGTACAAGTTTTCGTTGTTTTAATCACATAATGTTGACACATCTGGTTCTTGAATTATATTTCTGTTTTATCTATCACATTAGCTTCTCTCAGTTAAAATACCAATTATTGCAGATGGTTGAAGTATTGATCACTTTTTCTTTTGTCCATGGCCAGCCTTTGTTGTAATGGCAGTTATGTAAAGATTGCTGTAGTTGTGTAAGTAAAGAAAACGGTGATAAGATAATGTCATGTAGAACAGACCAAAAAAAAAAATTGGCTTAGGTTTTTAAAATGCATGTGCATTAAAACTTTCAATAATTATACATGCAACCTGCACAGAGCCACACAAACAGAGCCTTGGGTGAGAAGTCTGTTCACTAATATCAACACTCTTCGACACTTAGTTGAGCTCATTTTTCCAGGTAGTATTTTTGTATCCATCTATACTGGCTGTTAGAAGCTTCAGTTTTTAGTGTCATCCTCTCCTACATCATTCTATTCTCTCCTTATCTATTTTCTTAATTATGTTTATTTTTTTCCTAAATTGGTTCCACTGATCTCTCCATACACTTTCATTTGCTTCTTCTGCGTTCATCTTGCAGTTTCTGTTTACTTCTCAAAGTTGTCCTTTCACAATTTCATCCCATTATTTGGAGCACCACATTATCTTTTCTTTCTGCTGGTCTTCCCTGCTATTCCCCATTGAAATTGCAGAAGTATATTAATCCTTTAAATAATAAATATTGACATCTTGTACTGATTCCTATGTCAGAATATTTTGCAAAATGCTGATGTTTTGAAGTAAAGTAGTTTTGAAACTGACTTTCTATATTTATATTTTCCATTTTATGATGTTTCAAATTATTTGATTTAGCCTCTGATTTAACATAATACACTGTCCATCCTTGTTAAATAGCATTTGTAAGTATTCTGTTTTTTGTTGCAATGTGTGTGATAGACTGCAACAGAGAAAATAGATGATAATGGATATGATTTGACATCAGATTTCTCTGAGATATTAGAAATTATGGAAGAATATCTGAAACCAGTGCTGTCACAGTTTGATTTTTCTGATACCAGGTAAGACATTTAGACTTGCTTTATCATCATTTGTGAAAACAGAATGGTGACTCAAGTCCTACAGGAATGGTTTTAGTAAGAATAGACCCTCTTGAATGAACTTTTTACGTCTTGAAAGACAGTATATGCAGGATATGCAAGACTAAGAGGATTGAAACATGATAGACTAATGGCCATTTCTAACAAGCACTGTTCTCCAGCTTAAGTTATACAATATTGAGTTCAGGACGAAACTTTATAATTTAACTAGTTAAGGATATGATTTCCAAATGACAGGAACTCCAAAGGGAGTACATCCTTTGTGTAAAATTTCTTTGAGATTGAAGCAGTTTTGTCTTTGTGTTTCCTGTGAAAACTTTTACTTACAGAAGTACTAGCGCTGATAATATTTTCACTGTGATTCCTCTTCCCAGAGAACAGAGCGCATCAGTTTCAGCAGCTGAATCAGGAAAAAGAAAATTGAAAGGTAAGGACACCAAACATATTAAAATGCGGGGTATGTGCTCTCTTGAGTACAATATATGTATGTGCGTGTGTGTACAGACAGTATCAAAATCCTGTCATTTTAGTTTCAATTTTTGTGAAGCCAGGGAGAAAAAAAAGTCTTTAGCAATGGTTTTGTCTGTTTATTTTCTGTATCAAGTCAAGTATTTTAGTATACTTCCAAAGAGATTATTTATAGGCTGGATGGAGCTATCCTTCTGCATGTATTTGCAGTCTTGCAAACTATACAGGCTTTAGACAGCTAAATAAAATGGCTTTATTACAAACCAGTCTTTTCAGGAGAAAAAACAAAAGAAAACTTAAGAAAATTGATCTCTCTTTGTTTTGTCTTTTCCTGCATTTTATGTTGTGGCAACTCACACATTGTTTGCCTTAATGCAAGCCTAACACTGGAATATGTCCCTAAACACATTGCAAGAAAAGAGGCTTGCTTTGGGGATGAGTTTTTTGCTTTATGGTGGGGAGCAGTGAAGTTTCTCAATTAAAATTACTAAAAAAAGATATACACTTGCATTTGATTTTACCTGCAAGAGTTTCTTTCTGCAATCTGGCAGCTGGCTGCTTCTGTCATTCTGCAAAGACTGAATAACTTGTCTTCCATGTATTTGTTGTTTCTCTGTAGAACAGGAAAATGTTGTCATAATGATATTCAGTACTTTTTTCCTAAATAACAGAAACAAAGAGTTTCCTACAGAAAGGCACAGTTAGTATTGGATAAGAGCTCCTTTACAACTCTGTACTGTTTAGCCAAACACTGCTAAGGCAATTTTGCATTTCCAAACATCATTTTCTGGAATACATTGCATATACCTGGACTTCAATCAGAGGTGGTTGGTTATCAATACAGGGATATTTTTCCCTCTGAAGAACGAGTGGTCACAAGTGCATATGCATAGAAGTTTGACAACATCTTAGGAGTAACGGTATCAAAAGAAATATTTTTGCATAATGCACTTAATCCACAGTAAAATGGAGTTCAGGTGTCATACAGCAGAGGAAATCTAGGTTTTTACTTCTAACTTCAATTATTTATATACACACTGAGAACTACTAGATCTCAATCATATTCTGTCACATTTCTTCAGGTACACCTATGGACTTAGGATTGTGTGTGGTATTACTAGGAGATACATTCTTTATGGAATTGCCTTTGGAAGCTCTGAGTATCTTTAAAGGGGAAGGAATTAGTTCTGTATCCAGAGATTTTTCTCTCCAGATCCTCTACAATCGAATACATCTGGCTGAGTCAGGTACTATTAGATAAACATTCTTTGCATTAGCATAATGATGCAGTGAACAAGATACTTAAAATTTAAATAATATGAACGATGTGTTATATTTTACTGGAAGACTGCCACATACGATAGTTTTCCAGTATTTTAGATGGAATAGATAGTACAGTAGACGTATTTCAGGCTGATTATAGTTGCAGTGCTAGCTAATTTAAAATAACCTCTACATATTAAAGAATTATGTAAAACTCAGTGGAATCTAAAATGGCTTGCAAAGTTTCAGTTATAGAAGTATGGTCTTAAACTCTTTAAAGCTGTTTTCAGCTGCATTGAAAAAAACTGAAATAAGAATTTAGACTTCTGTTAGTTTTCTTTAACATTAGTGTAAGACTTTGCTCAAAGTATCAAATGTAAAAAACTTAATCATTGAGCTACTTTCTGTCTGTATAGCTAAGATAACATTAAGGTCAATCCAGCGATTCTTGCGCTGTGCATGAGCAAAATCAGATCCCACAGACTTTATGGACTTCTTTCATTACTGCAGACACTTGCACCACATATATAAACTCTTCAGTGAAATGAGTTTGTTAAGTGAGATAGTTGGACAGTTGGTAAACTTGTCCCTGTGGCATCTTAAAACTAATTTATTATTTATTCTAAAAGTAAGAAATAAATGCAGGCACTAAGCAGTTTTTTGCATGAATCTTCTATTACTGAAGTTAAAAATTTGAAGTCACATTTTGCTCATACATTAGATAAAAACACATTTTAACTCAAATTAAATTATTAAAACTAGTGGTCCTCAGCTGAAAAATAAGCTAAGTTTAGAAAATCTCACTCTGTACCATGAAAGTATTCTGTTCCATAGAGGTTCTTTTATTGTGTTCATATCCATAATATTTAGCACCTGCAGTATAACCCCTTCTCTGTTTTTCCATTTCACCTCTCCTTTCTAAAGTGAAAGAATTGTGAACAATCTGAGATTAGAGTATTTTTAGTCTACATACATGTTCATATACTGTTACAGGTCTGTTAGAAATAGGAGTTTCAGAACATGCGGGGTTTTTTTTCCATTTCTGTTTTTCTCTTTTTTAAAGTGAAACTTCTTATGGTTGCATAATTTTAGAAGCAGATAAATGAGAGGAAGCATAGTTGAAAAGTCTCTGTTCATGCAGTTATGCAAGTAGCCCCTGAATGAGGAGGGAAACACTAGCCATATGAGTAATAATTAATATCTCAAACTTTCACCAACTTGCAGTGCACTCCAGTGGTAACTGGCTGAGACATGTACTTTGGGTGATAGTCATATATACGGTGAGAAATGTGTCAAGCTTTCTGTGTTTTTTTAGAATCCCTTAAAGAAATAAAAAGTCAGATTCAAATATGAAACTTTCTTTTTTTTTTTGATCTCTGCATGTTTCATAGACGCTTCAGTTATTCCAGTAGCATCAACAATGAATAGATACAGCAATAGGCTTAGAAAGTCCTTTGGGAATCACTGTTCAACTCTGTCCTAAATCTGCAACGTAATGAAGATTTTGCATGTCTAAGGGATCACATCTCTTACTTGTTTTCCACCTTCAAGCCATTATTTTTAGGCAAGAGGGTTTGGGGAATGTTCTTGCCTTGCTGTGATGTGAAGTTAATTTTTATTTTTCTTGTTTAATCTGTTATTATTATTATTATATCATAACAAATACAAGTAGTCCTTCAAGAAAGTTGTATTTTCTAAAATGGCCTATGTCTTAAAAAAACCACCATCTTTTCAATTCCACAGAGACTGAAGTTAAAACGGATGTTGAAATATCTAAAGAAACAAAACCAAAAGCTCGTCAGAAAAAGAATGTCAAAACGGTGAACTTTCCACATTTTTAAAATAAACTCAATAGGAGTAGCTCTTCTTTTTGTGTAAAAAATGTTAAAGAACTACAAGTGGCTTGCATAGAATCTCATTATGTATGCTAGAATTCTGAAGTGGAATAAATATCGCATTAGTCCATAAAAATTTTGCTTCCTATTGATTTTGCAGTAATGACAGAGTTGTTGTTTCTTTGAAAAATCATACTCTCTGTGTAAATGTGACATATTTAACAACCCATCAAGGGAGCTGCTTAAAGTTACTAAAATACTTTCCCCAACAATATAATATATTTCATATCATGTATGCACATCTTTTTATAAATATATATGTATGTATGCATATATATCTATATATGTGCACACACATATAATACTCATGTAATGTAAGTATATGCATTGTAGATAATGCAGAATAGCTTATGCTTTTAATTTCCATTGACAGTTGTCATACTGCTTTTAATCCTACCTTCAAAACTTTAGAACATCTCTTTGTTAGTTGTTTGACACAAAGAATGCAATACTGTTAATATTTGATTGAGACTTCTGCATGTAATAGAATATGTATTCTTTTTAATTGTAGGCACCAATTAATAGTGATTTACCCTGTAATTGCTTGCCTGTTGGTACTCATAATTTTAAATGTATCCTTTCACAAACTATTAGCTAAGTGTATCAGTTAAACTTTCTTTTTTTATTGTTTACATTGCATTGTTTACACTTAACTGTTTATCAGATATTGTGGACCCCTATAATGAAGGAAGACAGGCAGGTAATATATATTAAATATTTTCTCCACAAACTACCCATGGAATTTGGAAAATTTTGTAACAGAAAATGAAGTCATGACATCAAGATGTTGACAAGAATGCTTAGCTTTTAATTAGAAGAGTAGTGCTTATCACCTGTCAAATGGTGCATCAGTGAAACAGTATAACCTGTTTCAGGTTCAGGAAAGAAATTAGATTGTCTTATTATTTCTTTCATATCATCAAATATTGACCTAATATCGCCAAGAAAATAATTACTTGAGTAATCTTTCTTACTATCTAATCCAATTAAAAACACATGCTTAATTTCAAGAACTTGTTACAGAATTTTTAATTTTTCAAATACATGCCATAAAGATGCAATATCAGTAGTGCAGGGAAGGATATAGGTAAACTGAAAGGATATGATGCTTTGTATGATCTTTGTTATACAAGAAATTTGCTTGAAAGCCATGAATGGGCTTGGAACAAACAGTACTGAGTGAGAATGGACTGGGACAGGAACAGTTGGACTCACCACACCTATACAGCAATTCTCAAGCTAAAGACTACAAATAAAGCGTATGTAACATGTAGTTTTTGCAGTCCGTTGAAAGGTGAAGGGTACTATGAGACACACAAACAGTCCTGTAAGGATATTTGAGAGGGTTGTTATTTCCTTTTGGAATGTATTTATTAAGGCAGTAGGCATTTGCTGTATTGGAATGGAATGAAATGGAATACAATACAATACAATATTTTCAGTTGGAAGGGCCCTACAGCGATCATCTAGTCCAGCTGCCTGACCACTTCAGCGCTGACCAAAAGTTAAAGCATGTTATTAAGGGCATTGTCCAAATGCCTCTTAAGCCCTGACAGGCACGGGGCATCGACCACCTCTCGAGGAAGCCTGTTGCCATGTTTGAACACCCATCTTGGTAAAGAAATGCTTCCTGATGTCCAGCCTGAAGCTCCCCTGATGCAGCTTTGAACCAGCCCCATGTGTCCTGTCCCTGGACGCCAGGGAGGAGAGATCAGCACCTCCCTCTCCACGTCCCCTCCTCAGGAAGCTGTGCCCCTCAGCCTCCTTCTCTCCGAACGAGACAAACCCAGCGTCCTCAGCTGCTCCTCAGAGGACGTGCCTTCCAGCCCCTTCACCAGCTTGGTTGCCCTCCTCTGGACATATTAATTCAGTCTGACACAAACACTTTAAGAATACAATTTGATCTCCTTTTTTCTCCCAGTGTGTGCAATAGTTTAACTGATTCACATTCATTAACCAATTCACATGCATATCAAATGCCAAAAATTGATTTAATGGCAGTTTTTAATTGAGATAGTTATTAAACCTCAACTCAACACAAAAGAAGCTACTGAACTATCAGTAGTATAACAAAATATGTCTCCATATGTTTGCAGTTTCTCCTTCAGAGCAGATCAAAACAAAACACTGTTTACCATGTGCTCAATATCTGGCTCTAGAGTATATCTTTAATTTGCAGTAGTATGAAAATGTAGTAAAAAAAAAGAAAATTAATTATTAAATATGCAATGTTCTTGGAGAGCAGAGGTGGGTTTGGAGTCTTGCTTTTTGAAATCAGGGCTCCAGAAACTCAGTTATTTTCTGCAACTGCTTAAGTCCTCTCTGAGCCTCTGGAATAGAACTGTATGAGCGGTGCTGGTGTTCTCAACTCTTTACACTTTTTTCATGGTACCTAGACTTTTTCCTTTGTGCTTTTAAAGTATTTAACTTGTCTACCAAATAGTCCTTGTCAGTTATAAAATATACCTTTCAAATGGGAATTACAAACAATTTACTCAGAAAATGTCACAACTGCTACAGTTTCAAAGCTGGACTTAGGTTTCAAAAAACTTGAGATGTAATGATGGCCTAAAACCCCCTATATATTATATTGTCATTTTAAAATGATTGAAATTGAGATTGCCTAACGTCCTTTGTAGCATGTTAAGCTCATAATGATGAAATTCTGTTGTTACAGGAACTTTAAGTCCTTCTCAAAAAATAAAGGAAATCCTGGAAAAATACCATTACCTATTTACACTACAGTGGGAAGGAATTATTGGCAACATACGTGTTCCAAGGTTTGTAATATTCTGCCTGCTTTCATGTTTTATCCATGCCTATTTTTTAAAATTGTGCCTATTCCCAGAGGCTTCAGTCATAAAATAGGGTCATGTTGTCTTTCTTTCAAATGCATATTTAGATTTGTAGACAGAATATTTTAGATATTTGAAATACAGTGCCACAAAGTGAGTTAGCCAGATTGGTTGCATCAGAGTTGCTGTATATCTAGATAATCCAATTTTGACAAAAGCTCTGCTGGTGCAGTCTTCGATGAATATTATAAGTATATGTGAACATAAATGTAATTTCTGGCTTCACTCATAACTTAAGTATTAAAAATTATAGCACCTCCATGCACATTGAATCAGCTGTAAGATTGGAGCACAGATTTCAGAAGAAAAGTAATGAAGGTACATCTTACAGTTTACAATTTCAAACATCTGATTGTGAAACTAATACCATTTTATGGAGTTCATTCATAAACACACTTCATTCTTTATAGAAGTACTTTACTTTTAAGATCATAGCAGTAGAGGGATAAGAGGGATCTTGAGAGGTCAAGCAGTGACAGGTCCTGTAAGTGAGTCAACACAGTCATCACTGGACCTTCCTTTATAACTGCTAGTTTAATCAGTCCTTTGAAATCTTCTCTACTTAGGTAAAATCACTGTGTAGGTACTCTAGTTAAGCGAAGATTGTTACCTGTTACCCAATTGCATAGTTTTTGCTGCCAGCTAAGCTGATTATTCACATCTCTTTTCAAAACCTAATTTCTTCATATACTGATGGGTGCATACATGAATACTCCCATTGAATATTAGACTAAATACTGTTATTTCAAAGCTGTACAATGCATACATGGATGATTTTTTTTTTTTAGGAGAGTCTGGTATTTATCAAAAAATACACTATGCCTCTTGTTTACTATGAGATGTTACTAAACTAAGTATACCTCTGTATTAAAATAATTATTACTAATAGTCCATATGAGTTATTACACTTTCCATAGAATTCTGCAGGCTTGCTGGTCTCCTTGCTTTCCATGCTGACTTTTCTTAAAATATTTCTGGAGTAAATAACACTGAAGTGTTTGCTATGGATAATTTCTGAAAAATATTCTTGTAAAATAGTAACACAAAAGTAACTTCCTTCCTTTCTTCTTCCTTCCTTTCAGCCAAGCTGAATGGGAGCAGCTGCTGACAAACTGCAGTGCATTTCTCTTCTATGGGATGGAGAGATTCACGTCTCATATTTTACTCAACAGACTGGTTGCTATGAACATCCGAAGTGAGATAAGCAAACTGAAAAAATTTTTTTAATTACACCACCTTTTGTTCCCTGTTGTGTTTATTTCATACTGTATCATTATCACAGTATTGATGTTAGCAATTAAGGGCTGTTTTCAAGATCCAGGGTTTTAACTGGAAAAACTTTGCGCTATGTAGATTTTATTCTGTTGCACAGCTTTCTTGTTATTCCTTACAATTAAGTTTAGTCCTTCTCCACTTTCAAATGTTGGAATTTCTTAAGTTCCAAAAATTGAGTCATCATCTGATAGTTTTCCCAGTAACTCTTCTCCTTTTCTATGGAATTTAGTATTTGGTAACAAAGTATTTTTTATTGTTAAGAACAACCTCTACAGTACGACTTCTCCAAAATTCCTCAGTCTTCACTCAGGCAAAGCAGAATTGTCTGTCAAGACTGGATTAATGCTGAGTGATTACTCTGGTATTATGGAGCATTTGTAGACTCTGAGAAGGTATTTTTTTCTCTGCTTCTTCACAGCTAATTAGTCTTTCTGGTCTTGTAGCATAAGGCTTAGATTCAGAACTGGTGTTTCAGATTCACAATCTTTCTTTCTCCTCCTATTCCCCTCACACATCTGGAAGAAGCTCAACTTTGGAGTTGTGCTGAATTTGTCAGGGTAGCTGAATTGCTATATCGCTATATTGTGTTGAGATGTAAAGTAGAGAAGGACAGTACACATCAGATTGTGAAGCCCTGCGAAGCAACAGGAAGCTTCTTCAGGAGGTGTTGATTTTCAAAGTGATTTAAATATGTATATGTAAATATTACTGGAAATCAAGAAAATATGTCTTCCTATATACAGTGGTCACTCTTGAAAATGAGGTTTCAGATGTCTGTAGGCCAGATATTTACGGGTCTGGCAACTTCTGGAAAGTTCCTGAGTACCTTGTTAACCCTCACCCTGTGTCCTGCTCTTAAAATATGCCAGGATTAATTCTCCAGTGCATCTTATTTCCTTTAATGGAGAATAAACTAATTTCAAATATATTAATTTTAGTCCTAAAAGGATTGTTCTATTTTCTGACCACCTACACAACTTTTACTTGTTAGCTGGTAAAATTACTCTTGTCTTGCAGACTGAGTTTGAATCTACTGTAGAGCCAATCTTCATGTTAAGAGTACTTTTATTAATAACGATGAACTGTGTCTGAGGTTTCTGAGGGCTCTAACCTGGACCCAATATTATTAAATATTATTGTTGGTCATTTACATGATGAAATAGAATATATCATTGCTGAATCTGGGTATGAGACCAGGCTGAGAAAGAGAATGAGGTGGTTCAGCAACTCCTGAAATGCAGGGTTACAATGCAAATTAACCTTGCTTTATGGCAATAATTAGTAGGGGGTAATTTAGGAAAGGCTAGAGGGAGGTGTTATACTTAAGCACAAATAATCAGTTAAACATTAATAAGTTAGGGAATGACTGCTTAAGTGGCAGAATTACAGAATAGGGTCAAGAGGTGGATCACAAATTAAACAACATCTTCTTGCTAGGGGAAAAAAGCCTAAGCTCTGTATACATTAAGAGTGGTCAGAAGGCTATACCACACCATATTTTTATTAATAAATATGTATGTGCATTCATATGTATATATGCATATAAAACATACTTCAGGAGGAAAGATTGACATATTGAAGGGAGACATAATAATAGTTCTCATGTATGTCAGAGGCTTTCCAAGCAGAAAGGTAATTTAATTCTCATCTTTAAACTGCAGCAAACCAAACAGTGGGAAAAGCTTTTTAATTCTAAGAGTATTCTAAGTTATTTCACTGGAGGCCTTTAAGGAAAGTAAGGAATGTTTGAGATGTAACTTGGTCCTAACTTGTGGAAAGGAGCTGCAGTAGTTAACATTTCCATACCTCCATGTTACAAGAGTTTATAACTACAGAATTGAGTCATGTAGGTCATTAGCCTGTAATAAGATGGTATGTGGACTTCATTATTAGTTATACTAAGGTGGCACAGGAAAAAAACCTGCAAAACACTGTGGAAAGGTGTAGCAAAGTTACATCAAATAATGTTAGGATGACTTTATTAGAGTTCTTTTACTTAATACTTGACAATTTTGGCTGAAATATATAAATTTTATATTGGTCGTTTAGACTGTTCAAGAAATTCATTAACTTAAGAAAGTCCTGATTTACTTATATTTATTATGTTGGGCATTATTATTAGTGCAAATACCATTGCTATAACATCTTTTTTTCCAGAATGCCATTTGATGATACTTCTAGATCTGGTACGATCAAAGCAAAGTTACCAAAGAATTACAAACTCTGGTATCCACAAAAGGTAGGATAAAGTTTATTTCTGTAAAGTCCACAGTAAGGCAGATTATTTTTATTTCAAAGCAAAGTTAAAATTTTGAGTTATAAATATTCTCATTTACTTCTGCAAGTAGACACCTAAGGGAGAAGTTAGCCTCTTTATCTTGTAGCTTCATTCTTTACATAGGGCTAAATAGGATGAAAGCTCTGTTACAAGGCAATGATCAAGAAAGTACAACACAGAAACACTGCTACATTACACATTCCCAATTCTGAGTTCAAGATCCTCAAAATATTCTAATTAAATACATAAAACTTCCCTTTAACAGGTGAACTGTTAGGAGTCCATTTAAGGTTTCATACACTGAACTGTTTAACAATCAGCCAGTTTTTTATTTAAACAAATTATTATGGCATGTTAAATAACCTGTTCAGAATCTTTAATGTTATTTTCAGAGCTTTTTTAGCCTTACAAGCATCTCAGTATTTTCCTTGCTTTTATGTTGACAGGTGGCAGGGTTTATATACTTTTATCATATGTCCATTATGAATTCTTGACAGATGGCACACCACAAATAACTTTTAAGGTATTAAAAGCAAGGAGAATAGTTTTAGTGTCCTAATTTTATTCATGAGTTATTTAGTCCATGCTGAATTTTCAGATAACCCAAATATACTCTTGAGGGACAAGAGGCCTTGTGGAGGGATGTATAGATTGGAGCATTGGGCAATCATCAATGGCATGAAATTTAACAAGTCCAAATGCCAGATTCTGCACCAAGGACAGAGTAACGCTGGTCACAAGTATAAATTGGGAGAGGAGTGGCTGGCGATCAGCCCTGCAGAAAGGGATCTGGGGGTGCTGGTCGACAGCAGGCTCAATGTGAGTCAGCAGTGTGCCCTGGCAGACAAGAGGGCAAACTGCATTCTGGGGGGCACCAAACACAGCATGAGCAGCCGGTCGAAAGAGGTGATTAACCTGATGTGTTTATTGTTGGTGCGGCCTCACCTGGAATACTGTGTGCAGTGCTGGGCCCCTCAATTTTAGAAGGACGTTTTGGTCCTTGAATACGCCAAGAGGAGGGCAACCAAGCTGGTGAAGGGGCTGGAAGGCACGTCCTCTGAGGAGCAGCTGAGGACGCTGGGTTTGTCTCGTTCGGAGAGAAGGAGGCTGAGGGGCACAGCTTCCTGAGGAGGGGACGTGGAGAGGGAGGTGCTGATCTCTCCTCCCTGGCGTCCAGGGACAGGACACATGGGGCTGGTTCAAAGCTGCATCAGGGGAGCTTCAGGCTGGACATCAGGAAGCATTTCTTTACCAAGATGGGTGTTCAAACATGGCAACAGGCTTCCTCGAGAGGTGGTCGATGCCCCGTGCCTGTCAGGGCTTAAGAGGCATTTGGACAATGCCCTTAATAACATGCTTTAACTTTTGGTCAGCGCTGAAGTGGTCAGGCAGCTGGACTAGATGATCGCTGTAGGGCCCTTCCAACTGAAAATATTGTATTGTATTGCACTGTATTCTATTCTATTGTGATGGGTTGACCCTGGCTGGACGCCAGGCGCCCACCAAAGCCGTTCTATCACTCCCCCATCCTCAGCTGGACAGGGGAGAGAAAAATATAACAAAAAGCTTGCGGGTCGAGATAAGGACAGGAGAGATCATTCACTAATTACCATCACGGGCAAAACAGACTCAGCTTAGGGAAAATTAGCTCACTTTTTATTACAAATCAGCCAGAGTAAGGTAAATGAGAAATAAAACGAAATCTCAGAACACCTTCCCTCCACCCCTCCCTTCTTCCCGGGCACAACTTCACTCCCGGATTTCTCTCCCCTG